TGATTCAAGGGATCCTACCCATACAGAAATGTGGATGATACGCAGAATGCAGTTAAAATAGGAGGCAGCCCTGTTTAAGCAGAAACAAGTAAATGTGTCAGCAGTGACTTGCGCTAATAATGGTCCAAGCGCACCCTCTCCAATAGCAGAAGAAATGCCGTGGATGAATGAAGGGCCATCGGTTAATTTCTCGCAAAAGAGAGGCAGGCAGCAGTCTTTTAATAGAGGTAGAAGTGGTGGAGACCATGATGGTCGAGAAAGTTACAGGCCAAATGAAGGTCGAGGAGAAGGTGGGAATTATTCTCCCGAAAGCCGGGAGAATCATCCCTATCAACATGTCCGTTCCCTCCGCTCAGCAGGCTCCAGCCTGCTCCAGGTCTCCCACCCAACCCGCCCTACCATCGGTGGCCGGGCTTTCAGACCCTCTGCCCCCACTCCTTGGAACTCCATCCCACAATCCGTTTGCCTTGCTCCCTCTCTTGCTTCGTTCAAGGCACTACTCAAGACCCTCCTTTTCGACTGTGCCTTCAGCCGCCCCCTTACCCCCTCTGCCCTCCCTCAACCTAACCCTGCCCCCCATGCTCGGGTCCTGATCCCTGACTGTTCAGTGCCTTGGGACATCTTCCCAACGTGAAAGGTGCTTTACAAATTTCATTTTGTTGTTGTATTTAAAGTTCATAATTCAGTGGGTCAATTTGGTACTAAATATACTGTCCCCTTTTACATTGTTAATCGAGCCAGTCCTGCAGTTTATCAAATTTCTATTCACTCCTCACGTGGCAATCACAGATTCTATTAGTATCATATTAACCAACTGAAATTGTTTAAAGCACCGGAGCCTTTACCTTATGACACAGTCCCCACAGGTACCAACAAAAATGGCTCGTCACAACCCATGGTGTCTGTGGTGGTCCCTTCTATGCCTAATGATGATCTCCCTCATCACCTCCTGTCAGTGACATCTTCTGGGATGACTTACCCTTTCCTTCCCAACCCTCCCACCCACATAGCTGATCTTCACCTTTCATTTTAGTTCGACCATCTACAGGGGAGACTAGCAGACAAGATCAACCCAGTCAGCTGTCTATTCCACAACAGCAACCAATACCCACACAGAAGATCTCAACATGGACATTGGCAACATGTTCAGTATGCGTCGGGTGTGGTGAAGCACGAGCGTTGGGACAATCATGATCACCAAATGTTAAAAAGGAGAAAGAAACATAACTGAACGGATGATAGCAGTTAAAGTGAAAAGTTAGGGAACAAAACAACAAGATAACAAGACAAGATTCCATTTATAGAGCGCCTTTCACGTCAGGAGGACGTCCCAAGGCGCTGCACAGTTGGGTCATGACCCGAGCATGGGGGAAATGGTCAGGGTGAGGGGAGGGAAGGGAGGGAGAGAGGAGGGGGGAAATGGTCAGGGTGAGGGGAGGGAAGGGAGGGAGCGAGGAGGAGGAAGAGAGTCGAGAGGGGAGCTGAAGGCACGGTCAAAGAGAAAGGTTTTGAGACCGGCCTTGAAGGAGGAAAGGGAGGAAGCAAGGCGAAGGCACTGGGGGATGGAGTTCCAGAGCCTCGGGGCTGAGAGGCTGAAGGCCCGACCACCGATAGTAGGGCGGTTGGGGCGGGGGACGTGGAGCAGACCGGAGCCAGAGGAACGGAGGGTACGGGCAGGTAGGTAGGGGGATAGTAGGTTGGAGAGGTAGGAGGGAGCAAGGCCGTGAATGGCCTTGTAGGTGAGGATGAGGATCTTGAAATCAATCCTCTGGGGGATGGGGAGCCAGTGGAGGCGAGCGAGGGTGGGAGTGATGTGGTCCCGAAGCCTGGTGCGGGACAGTACACGAGCTGCAGAGTTCTGAATGACCTGCAGCTTGTGGAGGGAGGTGGCGGGAAGGCCGGCGAGGAGAGAGTTCCCATAGTCCAGCCTTGAGGTGACAAAGGCGTGAACCAGGGTTTCAGCAGCGTGAGGGGTGAGGTAGTGCCGTAATCTGGCGATATTCCGGAGGTGATGGAAGGCGGTGCCAGTTGTGGTGCGGATGTGAGGGAGAAAGGACAGCTCAGGGTCGAACAAAACGCCGAGGTTCCTGACTGGCTTTGAGAGGTGGAGAGTGCAGCCTTGGATGCTGATGGTGTCAGCGCCTGAGGTGCGGAGGCGCTGACGTGAGCCAATCAGGAGGGCCTCGGTTTTTCGCACGTTGAGCTGAAGAAAGTTGTCTCTCGTCCAGGACTCGATGTCGGACAGGCAGGCTGTCAGGACATCGGTGGTCGTGGAGTTGAGAGTAGAGGAGGAAAGGTAGAGTTGGGTGTCATCCGCATACATGTGGAAGTTAACCCCATGTTTGCGGATGATGTCACCGAGGGGGAGCATATAGAGGGTGAAGAGGAGGGGACCGAGGACAGAGCCCTGAGGGACACCACATGAGACAGTACGGGGGGTGGAGGAGAAGCCATTCGTTGAGACGAAGTGAAGACGGTGGGAAAGGTAAGAGCTAAACCATTCAAGGACAGTGCCTTGAAGGTTGAGGTGGGAGGACAAGCGGTGGAGTAGGATAGCGTGGTCGACCGTATCGAATGCTGCCGATAGGTCGAGGAGGACGAGGAGACAGAGGGAGCCCTGGTCACAGATGGTCAGGATATCATTGGTGACCTTGACCAGGGCAGTTTCTGTGCTATGAGCAGCACGGAAACCTGACTGAAGGGGTTCAAAAAGAGAATGGGTGGAAAGGAAAGAGCGCAGTTGGGAGGCGACAACTCTTTCCAAGACCTTGGAGAGAAAGGGGAGGTTGGAGATGGGCCGGTAGCTTGATAGCTGCGACGCATCAAGGGAGGGTTTTTTCAGGGTGGGCGTGATGATGGCAGTTTTTAATGGAATGGGGACAGAGCCAGAGGAGAGGGACAGGTTTATGATGTCAGTGATGTGTGGGGCAAGAAAATGGAGCTGGGAGATAAGGAGTGGAGTGGGGATGGGGTCAAGGGAGCAGGTGGTTGGTTTTAGGGATAGGATGAGTTCAGTGACAGAGGGTGGGGAAACGGGTACGAAGGTGTGTAGGGGAGGATGGGTAGGAGTCGGAGTGTGGGAGGGAAGGGGTGGGTGGTGGGTGGAAGTTGGAGGGGAAGTGACCGCGGAGCGGATTCCCTTGATCTTGGATTCAAGGAAATCCAGCATCTCCTCGCAGTGAAGGTTGGAGGAGATGACCTGCGCGGGGTGGCGGGGGGGACGGAGGAGTCGGGATGTGGTGGAAAACAGTAGCCTGGGGTTGTTCTTCGCCTCCAGGATTATCCTGGAGTAGAAGGACGACTTGGCCGAGGCTAGAGTGGAGCGGTAAATTTTGAGGAGGTCCAGCCAGATTTGTCGGTGGACCGTTAGGCCAGATTTGACAAAGGTGCGCTCAGCAGCCCGCACCTGGCATTTCAGTGAGCGGAGGTGGGTGGTGTACCAGGGGGAGGAGCGGGAGTAGGAGACAGTGCGGGAAGTGATGGGGGCAAGAGTATCGAGTGTGGAGGAGAGGATATTGTGGAGGAGGGAGAGAGGAGAAGAGGGGTCGGTGAGGGTTGAAGGCCAGAGGGAGAGGAGTTCAGAGGACTCCAAGGCATCGGTTAGGGATTGTGGGGGTAACTTCTTCCAAGGGCGGTAGAAGATGGTGGTGGGTCTGGTGGAGGTGGGGAGGGGGGTGGAGGTGGTGAAGGAGATGAAGTAGTGGTCGGAGATGGCCTTGTCGGTAATAGTGACATCCGAGACACTGAGGCCCCGGGTGATCACCAAATCGAGTGGGTGGCCGTGACTGTGAGTGGGGGAGTTTATGTGTAGGGAAAGGTTGAGTGAGGAGAGCAGGGAAGAGAAGTCTGTGGAGATGGAGCAGGAGGGGGTGAAGTGTAGGTTAAAGTCGCCCAGGATGATGAGGCGATCAGAGGAGAGGCAAAGAGATGTGAGGAGTGTTGAAATGTCAGAGATGAAGGTGGGAGAGGTTTTAGGGGGCCGGTAGAGGAGGAGGATTTTAAGGGAGAGGAATGAGGGGTGGGAGAGGGTGAGGTGCTCGAAGGAGGGGAAAGAGCCAGTGGAGTAGGGGGATAGGGCAAGTGGTGTCCTTGAGATAAGGGCAACACCACCGCCACGGCGGTTGGGGCGGGGGATGTGGTGGGAGGTGTAGCCGGGTGGCGTGGCCTCCGTGAGGGGGAAGGTGTCGCCTGGGGTGAGCCACGTTTCTGTCAAGGCCATGATATCAACGTTCTCATCAAGGATGAGATCGTTGATGACCAGGGCCTTGTTGCAGAGGGAGCGGACATTTTGCAGTCCGATGTGGAGGGAGCGGTTGACAGAAGGGTGTGTGGGAGGGGAGGGGGGTCCAGGTTGTGAGGCAGGGGTGGGGGGAATGGGGATGAGGGAGGAGAGGTTGACTCCCCGGGTCTGTGTCCGGGGTGGGTGGCGAGTGTGGTGGGGAATGGGGCAGTCGGTGTGGCTGCTGCTGGACAGCCAACGCCGAGTGCCACGGTGAGCCCGGCGGAGGATTCCCAGCTGGAACAGAGGGAGGTTGTGGGAGGGTCAAGTGGGGATAGAAGACGAGAGGGACGGAGAGAGAGGAGGAGAGAGCGGGAGAGATGGAGAGGGGGAGGGTTTGGGGGGAGAGAGGAGGGGGAGGGAGGGAGGGGGTGAGGGGGCTCGGGTCAAAGCGGCAGCCATAGTGCGCACGCGGGGACCGGGAGCGAGCGGTCAGGTGGATGGCATTATCCCGCAGATTGGGGCATCGAACCCAACAGGACCATAGTGGGCTCTGATGTGAGCCCTGGGGGGGGGGGGGGGGGGGGCGCAGAGGTTTTTTTTTTTTTTTTTTTTGTGCGCGCGCACTCACCTGAAAACTAATCTATGACGTCGCAGTACCTCCGCTCCGCCCCCACCCCTCCCTCCACTGCCCCCCCCCCCGGGGCTGCACTCGCTCCGGCGTCGAGTTTAAGTACCTGGGTCAGTAGGCCCAGGCTCCTCCCCGCGCTGTCCTGCCGCCGCTCCCCGACTGAACAGAACACAACTGGGGATATGCTGTACTAGAGAGAATTATGGTGGTTAGGATACATGTAGTGTTTGAGATTGCAGGAAAACGGCAATATATTGGTACAGGCATCTTGTATAATCCAACCAGCTATGTCAAAAGATTCAGAGGAAAACGGGAAAGTGAGAATATAGCTTTAGCCATTATGTGTATGAAGTTATGCAAACTTTGTAAAGAACACTGAAAGATACTAAGTTGGGAAGAGTCCCGGATTTAGTAAGTGATCAAAATTTTAAAAAATAGAATATGAGGATGATATACCAAAACACTTGATGATCCGTAATTTGGGATGTTACCTTATACCCAGGATTGCACAAGTGTAGTGGTAAAATGGCTAACAGTTCATGTAAATATTATGATTTGTTTTATATTACTTTTACAATGTCATTAATGGTAGTTAATGAAAGTGAAATGTATGTATATGTAAGATATTTGTTACAATACAGTCTGTTATTCTAATTTTGTGTGTTATGATGTGTTGTTGGTGTTGCATGATAAAGAGAGTCAACAGGAAAATTAGGTTAGAAAAACAAGGGACATCAATGATAGAAAAGTTTCAATTGAAACAATTATTCAGAAAATATTCATAATTTTGCAGGATTCAAAGTGGTGTGAAAAGACATCCTCTGGGTTTGGGAATGGTGACCAAACAGATGGAAACTGCTGAAGAAAGAAAATTCATCATGAGTAAACTGATGGTTTAATGGACATTTGGACTTTGATAAGTATATGTGGCAAACGGTCAATACTAAAAGCACAGAATTAAGGTTTACCAACAGATGTCCGACAGTCCCTGTAATTGCTTTGAGGAAGATACATTAATGATATACGTTAATGTTTTAAAGTACATACACTGGTTCTGAGGATTATCATAGTGTAGCTCCTGTAGGCAATGGTACATCAGCCCAACAGTAGCTAAGGGGGGACTGTAAGCTGATGAAAGAATGCAGCTGAGACACCGCCCCACCCTGGTTTCCGTGTAAGAGAGACTTTGTTGAAAGAGACAACCATCATGACCTGGACTGTTGCCACCTGGTGGGGGGTGACGCAGCCATAGTAGCAAAGTCAGGGCGGCCACATGGCAGGAGAAGGCTGCATCGTGTGAAGGACGGAGACAGCCACCATTATCTACCGGGACGGATAGAGGAAAACTCCTCTGAGACACAGAGAGGAAAAGACTCTGTTTAATAGACTCAGAGACTCTGAGGCAAAGGAGAAGGGCAGATCAACAACAGTCGCCATTCTCTCCTGGAGGAAGGTTGGATGGCCTTTTGAATCTGAATGGTCCCCGGTTTTAAATATTGACTTCGGTTATTAAAACATTAACTCTTGTGTTACATCGTGAGGAACCCATTTATTACAATATATCATTTTCACTCCCTCCCTCATCTCGTTTGAGGTCCGTCTCAAGACCTACCTTGTGGACCACAATTTTAGTCATCTATCCCTTCCCCACCTCCCTCAGCTCCCACCCCTCAGCTCGGGTGCCAAGCCAGGACTGTTAATCGCCTTGAGACGTCCTCCTGATGTGAAAGGCTCCATATAAATGTAAATTTGTATTGTGTTGTATATTATGTATATATAAATACTTACACTTATACATATGGTCACCGCCCCTCCTCCCTGACTCAGCGTCAAACTATACCATTGTTTAGCACACAGAGACGAATGGTGCTACATGAATGCAAGTTGTTGTTGTACTAGTTTTGATTCTTGGCCATATCTTATGGAGTCCTGTAGCTCAGTGGTTAAAGCACTCGCCTCAGGTCACCTGTGTTCAATTGCCGACAGGGCGAAATGTAAGTTTCCCTACTCCACACTACTCTGTTTACTTAGCAGTGAGTAGGAACCCGGCTGTTAGTTGATTGGTGGATCACTTTTCCGGGGGTAATAATTCCTTCAAAAAAATAATAATAAATTGGTCACTTCAATCTAAGACTGTTTGTGGAACACTGCTGTGTGCAATTGGCTGCCGCAGTCAAAATCACTTTACAGTATATTCTGTGAAGCGCTTTGAGACGTCTAGAAGATGGGATAAAGCTCTATATCAAATGCAAGGATTATTATTATTATATCTTGTGACCTTTGTTGCATACATGGTGTGAGTTGGGTCAACATGCTGCCGTGTATGTGTGGCTCTCACCCAACTTCTGACCAGCAGCGATGACATTGGTTCCAGTGCTGTGATCTCTGGCAGGATCATAAGCAAGCAAACTTTGTGACAACAGAGTGTCTTATCAACCTTTTGTAGCACGGCCAGCACACACTCCTGACATTCCTGAATCATTATCAATTGCTATTTCCTTTGCTCACAGTGCCTGCGGGGCACAGATGCCAGTTTTCCATGTGGTGCTCAGTGCTAGCGTGATACACAGTATTGAGGGAACTGCACATTCTAACACCAGTTGAAATGTGTGGTTGAAAAAAGCAGGAGATCTAATGCCTTTGCCGCCTGAAAACATCAGACGGTAGTTTAAATTCTCCGAGACACCAGCCTACATGAAGAGTACTATATATTTGCAAGTTATTGTTGTTCTCCTGGAACCAGTATTTAGGATCGCTGGGAACTACGCAGAACCTATACCGCCAGGTCCTTTTTTACTTGAAGACCACACCATGGCCTCTCTCTCTCGAATGCTGGATGGATTTGTGCCTTTGCTGGTCGTCCCAAAATTATCACATCAGAATACAATACAAACTTCAAATTCTGATGCAACCCAGAAATACATGGTGAAATGAAATGCCATTTCTGTTCTAGGAAAAGTTTGGCCAACCTTTATTTCCATGATGAGACATACCCCTTTAAGGGGACTTGGTAAACGTCTTTTGACACCATGGTAACCTGCAAAACAGCTTTCCTATATCTTAGCAACAGATAGAAGCTGCCAGCTGGGTGTAAAGCTTCCATCAGACCGAAGTAATAAAAGTGACATACAGAAGCAATACCTCAGAAAAACTATTTTGGGGTTCCACCTCTCACAGTGGTTTGGAGGAAGCAGTCACCAGGTTCCAGCCTCACTCAGTGAAGTAGTTCCACATTCACCTTCAGAATTGACCAGTTCACAAGCAGAATGACGATTTTTTTCTCCAGAGATGAAACGATTGAGAGGGGACCTGATAGAGGTGTTTCAGATAATAAAGGTTTGGATAAAGTGAACAATGATAACCTGTTTCCACTTCTTGGTCAGTCCAAAATGAGGGGGTGTAAATATAAGATAGCTCGTAGCAAATCAAAAAGGAAATTTTGGAGGAACTCACTGCTGAAAGCTGTGGTTAAAGTAAAAAAATTCAATGTATTAACTAGGAAATTTGATGCGTATATTAGAGAGAAGGGAATAGAGATTAATATGAGAGAGGAATAGGAGCGGTGGAGGCTCGTGTGAAGTATAAACACCAGCCATGGATAATGTGGGCCAAATGACCTGTTTATGTTTTGTATTATTCTATGTCATATAAAGAATAATAGAACCAAGAGATGAGTTCTGGAATCCAATCAAGGAATTCAGGTGGATTATACATAGAAAAAGGGATCCCCAGGAGTGGATTACAGACCAGGATCAAATTCTGGGGGAGAAAAGTTTATATATATATATAAAAAATGATCCTCATGAGTGAGTTACAATGCATTATCTAATTCAGGAGGGGGTGTAATTATATGTAGAATAACTGATCCCAAGAGTGAGCTACAAGCCAATATCCAATTTTGATGAGAGGGAGAGTATAAAGAGTAACTGATACCCAGGAATGATTTACTGAACAAAATTTAATTCAGGGATTTGGGGGCTATATACAGAATAACTGATCCCAGGAGTGTCTTTGAGACTAGTATATAATCCAGTGGTTCGGGGTTTCAAGTTGTGTATCCTGAGAATCATATGGTTGTACTAAATCGGAATTTTGTGTGGTTTATGTGTTTATGGTGAGTCACTCGGATGACTGTAAATTTATGCTGAACTCAGTGCACAGTCTCTGGTCAGAAGTTGTATAGTATTATTAGAGCAGTCAGGCATAGTGTACGTATGGTGCTGCAGAAGTCTAATGTAATGCACTCCCTTTGCAGGTTGAACATTGGAAAATAAATCCAATCCACAAGACTTTTGTTGGCTGTTTGTTCGATCCACTTGTTTCTTTGATAAAAGCTGAGCCCTAAACATGGACCAGCCTGTGACACGCAGACAAATTATAGATAATTGGAGGAAATGATGCTGCAACATCACAGAGAAAGACAGGTTCAATTGTCTAAACAGCTGGCTGAGATAAGCAAAGTCATAGGAGAAGAGGGTGCAACGTGTAAGAGAGTGGAGAAGACTAAAGGGAGAAAAAGTCAAGAAGGGTTCTTCAGTGTGCACTCCCACTACAATCCAAGCACTGCATGTCAGTCACAGAAAAGGCTCATTGAGTCCAGGCAATTGCGCAAATCGCCTAAGAAGCTAAAGAAGCACATGGCAGATCAGTTCTTTCCCAGAATGAGCACAATTCATCTGGACCTGTACCAATGCGAGAAGAGGGAAGATAAATGCACCAATCCTGAAAAGCTAATGAGTCAGCTGAAAGTTTGCATTATTAACAAATCCCAGGCTGTACAAGAGGTTCAGGACCCATCTAGATTGAAGCCACTTGGCCTTCAGATTCTCCAGGCAAATCCTGTTGTGGTTGAGGGTGTGTCTGTTCACTACAGTGAGACATCCAGAGTGAAAAGGCAAATGCACAGTGAACAGCTGGGCCAGGATGGTCAGAGGAAGAGAACTTTGGAACCGATAGATAGTCGCCTGGAAAACTCAAAAAACGCTGCCCTGAAGAGCTGGATGTTTCAGAAGAATGCTCTTATCAGAAAAGAGAGCGCAGTGAAGATGAGGCAGAGGCAGCAGAAAGCTGAGGAACTGAAGAGACGAGAGAGCGATATGAAAAGGAAGCAGAAAGAGTCAGAGGAAAAAGTGAAAAAGTGGATGGAGAGAAAAAGAAAAGAAGGAAAAAAAGAAAAGATAGCAGTGAAAGTGGCTACAGTCCCAAGAATATTGAGTGTTGATGTTCAGATTATCAGCCGGAATATTAAGAGGTTGACTCCTGCATCAAGAGCAGACAGGAAATCCATCATTCAGAACTCATCAAGAGCCTGGAAGACTGACCAACAAGTAAATCAGAAAAGGCTGGAGAGACAGAGCTGGGGAAGTTTTGTCCCAGATCCAGGCAATCCAAGAACCAAGGTGTCTTCACAACTTTCCACTGGTTCATTCTGGGAGCAAGTTGTGAATGCAGAGCCTGGTGATTGGGTGACTCAGAAGCCCAGCAGAGAGAAGACGAAGATGGCTGGGGCAATGGGTCAAGAAATTGAGGAAAATACAGGGTTTGAACCTACAGGTCAAAATTCAATTGCAAGATCCTTAGGCAGCACAGCTCAGGTGAAATACCTACCCAATGCCAGCCTCGACAAAAGTGTACAGCCTGTACACAGACTGTCCTTCAACCAGTGGCTGTCAAGAAAATCACAGAAAAAAACCCTGATGGTCAATGGAGAGGAGGTGGAATCAGACAGAGGTTTTCAAGATTTTCTCCCGAAACTTGCAAGAAAGAGAACAGAAAGCATAATGGATAGGAAAAAGAAGGCAGATGCAGTGTTAGAGTTTGACCGAGTAGCTAACCTAATGACAGCCCCTGAGTGCACAACAATCCCCCAGACCTCACACTGGGTAGGTAGCGCCAGACTAACTCCAGCGGTACAGAAACATTTCATGTACAGGTTAGTTGAGGATGCAGTTACAGGTGCAGGTGGTGATTCATTGGTACAAGGGAGGGAACGTGGCCCTGGGCAGCCACAGAAGGCCCCTACAGCTCTGTGTGCAAAGTCCGCAGCTGGGGAAAGCCCCACTGGCTTTGTCCTCAAGTACAAAAGACATTTGCGAAGACCAGATCCACCGGGCAGGGAAAACCACCCAACTAATTGACCGCAAAAGATGGGCTTCCCCATCCATGTACACAGCGCACTTTGACTGAGCCAAGTCCGGGGTGGGGGTTGGGGGGAGCAACAAATGCATTGGATTCATATTTTATGGGAATACTGATGCAGCAGAGCAGTGAAAGCAATGTCAATCTCCACAATAAAGGAAATTACTGTCCATTCTTTCCATCCTGCTTGGATCTGGATGGGCTGATGTAGCTGGGAGGGGAGTATTGTTGCTCCATTCCAGAATATTTTGATTGCAGACATTGACCAATACCCCAATCAGTGTTCAGGCACCCTCAGGACACCACAGGTTCCATGCCCTCTGCATTTGGATCAGAATTCAGTTCCTGCTCCTGATCTCTATCCAATATCCACCCCCACCCCACCTCCTGCTGGAAACTGGATGTTTTTCTCGGACAGGTTAGGCTCAGCTGTGATACCAATTTCTGTGGCTGAACACTCTGTGCACTGGTCGTCTGGTTCACTTCATAATGCCCTCTTGGGGTGAAGTACTGGAAAGCATCTGTGGAACTGTCGCTTGGCACAAGATGCCCCCTTCAAAGGGGAGAGAACATTTCAGACAATCTTGTATTGTGCTGCTGAAGATTTTGACTTCTTATTGGCTCCTCTGATAGCCTTTAATATATTTGTACATTTTCTCACTAAGTCAATAAAGAGCTGGCCTGAGACAAAGTTTTTACCTGTTATAACATTTTTGCATAACATTTAATATTTATGAAAATTTATGGAGTCCTGTAGCATATTAATAAGAACACTTGCCTCACAAGTAAATCCCAGACAGGGCGAAACCTTAGGCAAGTTTCCTTACTCCACGCCTCTGTTTACCTAGTAGTAAGTAGGAACTTGGTTGTTAATCGATTGGTAGATCGCTTTCCAGGGATAATAATCTCTTAAAAGCAAATAAATAAGTACTAAATTAATAAATAAATAATTTGGTCACTCAATCCACGACTGCTTGTGGACATTTCTGTGTGCAATTGGCTGCAGCATTTTGCCCACAAATGTACAGTCAATTCACTTTACAGTGTGTTCTGTGAAGCGCTTTGGGACGTCCTCCCAACGTGAAAAGCGCTATATCAAATGCAAGGATTATTATTATTATTCTGTGAAACTCTTTGAAATGTCTCAATGAAGTGATAAGGCGCTATATTAAATGCTAGGATTATTATTCAAATTTCTTTCATTATAGCTCAATTTTGAAGCCAATTTTGAAGATTGTTAAGATTGTAATTTAAGATTTTTTACTCATAATATAGCGTGATCTAAAATCTCAAGACTAGGTGAGTTTTGTTTTGAAGTTGAGCAGAATTTCTAGCTTTGCTTTCAGTTGCATGTGGAGTGTCTGTGTGTGTCAAGGAGTCTAGGTTCTTTCACACACACAATTATATCTAGGCTCAACTACGCCAACTCCGTTCTTGTCGGCCTTCACAACTCTTTCCTCCACAATAATAATCCTTGCATTTGATACAGCACCTTATCATGTCTTCAAGACATCTCAAAGCGCTTCACAGAATTGTGGGTGAAACACAGTAGACAGTTGTGCACAGCAGTGTACCACAAACAGACATGGATTGAGTGACCAAATTATTATTATTATAATCTTTTTTGAAGGGATTATTATTCCCACTACAGATCAAGCTGCAGATCATTCAGAACTCTGCAGCTCATGGCCTCTCCCGCACCAGGCTCTGTGACCCTATCCAGCCTTGCTCAGCTCCACATCTCCCAGAGGATAGAGTTCAAAATCCTCGTCCTCGCCTTCAAAGCCCTTCTCGGCCTTGTTCCTTTGTACCTCTGTGACCTGTTAACACCATATCGACCTGTCCGCTGCCTCCACTCAGCAGGCTCCGACCTACTCCATGTCCCCCACACAGCCCACCCCACCATTGGCGGTTGGGCCTTCAGCTTCTCTGCCCACACCCTTTGGAACTCCATCTCACAGTCCCTTTGTTTTGGTCTCTCGCTTGCCTCCTTCAAGGCATGTCTCAAGACCCTCCTCTTTGACCGCACCTTCGGTCACCCTCCTACGACTACCCTCCAGCCCTCCTGATTCCAACAACCTGCTCGGGTACAAATCGCTGACCAGTGCCTTTGGACATCCTCCCGATATGAAAGGTGCTATACAAATGTAATTTGTTGTTGTGTGGAAGTGTGTGTGGGGTGGGGAGGGGGGGGAAAGGGAGAGGGAGGAGAAAGATTCTGACTTCTCGTTCTCTTGCTCAGGGATGCTAAGGTCAATTGTACCTACCTCAAGTAATTATATTTTGTTTGCCCGAGGAACAAGCTCTAACAAGCCGATTCTATTCCATATCCAGTAGTTGGGTTCTGACTGACCAATCGCTCGCAGTGCAACAAATGGTGTTTTTAATGATTGACCTTGGACATCTGTTTGAGCATTTAACAACTTTTCCTCCCCTGTTCGTACATTTCAGATATAGAAGTGGTTCTATGAGTTAATGCAACACACCCAACAGGGAGACAAGAAAGGGACAGACAGAGGACAGTTACACCAGAGGACTTTATACAGTACAGGCTTTATATCCCCAGCCCATGAGATTGAAATCCATTCCTGCGACAGTAACATTTATTTTCTTGCAGAAATCTCCAGAGGTAAGATGCTACATTGAGGCATGTTGGTGTTCTCTGTAACCTTTTTATCTCCTGAATTTCTCCCCCACCTATTCTGGCTTAATTCTGATCTCAGGGTGGAAACGGGGTGGAGCAGGGTGTGGTGGTCAAGCAGACTTCGTCATTGGTTTTGCAGAATGATATGACTTTGCTGTAGTCTTGGTGGATGTCTTCAGGGCTCCGCCCACGCACGCAGGCTTCCAGTGACGCATAGCGTGTAGGAACAGGGACCCTGTAACATACAGCAGGAATTATAGCTGGAGCAGCACCAAGAATAACATGGTAATTCTGATCCTAATTCTGACTTGTACATAGGGTAGTGTTATTGGTCATAATATCCTTTAATATTATACTATAGATGTTACTGGTAATAATATACTCTTATTCAATGCGGTACAATAGGGCAGTATTAATGGTTTTCGTAGATTCTGATTTTGTACTGTACATAGGGCAGTGTTATTGGAAATTATAATCAGCTCCTTATTGTTTTCTGGACATAAGATAGTATTTTTGGTCAAAATAGACTCTTATTTGTACGGCACCCGTGGCAGTATTGATGATAGTAATAGACTTATTGTCTCCTGAAGACCAGTGTTATGAGGAGAAAAGTTGTAATATACTTCTTAATCTGAAAAGAATCGTTATGTATTCGTATTCTTATGTAGTATCGTGTTTTTGATATTAAACTGGTTATGCACAGTACTGCTTGAGTTGTATACAGAGTAAAGCTTCCTTTGCATTTGGGTTAAGGTGATCCATCAGCACTACAAAGTCAGATATAGCGGTGGATCATTGTGGAGATGGTGTATGAAATATCATTGTCATTGTCTCAAAGCACTTCACAGGATTTGAATTTTTTTAGGCTTACCGCTTGATGGATTTGAAATTCTTCTTTGTGGATTGCTTTCGACTCATACCGTGCATTGAAAGTCTCTTAATCTGAAGGAGCTCCTTGGCTGATTGGGTGATGGCTTTCTCCTTGTCCTTGTTGTCAATGTAAAAGTTGCCGCTGGACACAAAGTTGATTAGCGTTTGTTCCTTCATGCAAGAGGGAGGTGGGATAGTAATGGGGAACAGGTTGGCCATCAGATTAGCCACGTCCTTCTGGTCCCGAGAGAATATGGGATCACAGGATACATAACATCTCCAGACTTTACTATCAAAAGGTTTGTCAGGCCTTTCCGGGAGGATGAGTGGAAGCTTGCCGATTTTCAGCCAAGCCTGGAATCTCGGATTTGGCCGGTTGTGCATCTTGTTGAGTTGCAAACGATGGTGCAGCTCATCCACCACATCCGTGTAGAAGGGCTTCTGTGCCTCGGACTTTGGGTTAGGCCTGGGATGGAAGGCAGTCATTCTTGGCATTTTGTCTGGCAGCACTGTGCCTGTGCCAGCTGGAATGGCCAACCGCCAGGCTTCCCTGCAGCAATCACAAACAGTGTTGTGTCAGGTACACCTAAGTAATAACACAGTAATTATAATAATCCTTGCATTTGATATAATGCCTTATCACGTCGATAACGCAACTCAAAGCGCTTCACAGGAAATTCTGTAAAGTGGATTGACTGTATTTTGTGGGTGAAATGCGGCAGCCAGTTACACAGCAATATCTCACAAACAGCCATTGAGTGAATAACTAATTTTATTTGGGGGATTGTTGGCCAGGACACCGGGATGAATTCTCTTCTCTTAAGTACTCTGCTTAAACATTTTAGCCAGGTAGCCAACCCATGTGGAAACTAATCACAGTGCTTTGGAGTATCAAAACCAAACTGAGAGTTCCACATGGAAATTTCTGTTTCTCGAATGGATTGCAAACTCTCTACCCAATGAGTCACACCATGCTTACCTAATGCTGGAAGTATTAGACCTAGGCATAGTCTAAATAAATCCCTCCTTCTCCCTTCAGATTCTGTCTGAGCCACAACCCAAAATGCAGGATGATCACTTTAGGTTATAAAAGAAAGCTCTAGCTTCTGAGCTGAGTTGTTGAACTCAACCAAGGCTAATTTTGGGGCTACATGCATTCCAAAGACCATAGATTTGAGAGAAGAAATAAGCCAGGGCTGAAATTCCACCTTGTTTTAACATTTCAGACTACTCTGGCTTCCTCTTTCTTGATTGTGACTGTTAAATGTCATCTTAATTCGGAAGCCAGTTTTCTGCAGTTCTTAAAAAGTTTCAGGATCAATTTAAGAGTCTTCCGCAAGCCAAAGTCTTAACTGGTAGGGTGGTCCTAGCTGGAGAACCATCGGGAAGGTGGCAGAGAATACTCTCAATGGCAAGCTGTGTAGGTTTAGCTAGTTAATTTCCAGCAGGACTCCAAAGAGAAGTGGACATGCATGCAGCGGAAGGCTATAAGAGACTTCAGGTAAAGAGAAAGGATTGGGAATAGGATGGACCGCTTCTTGGAGAATCAAATATCAAAACAATGAGCAGAATGGCCTCCAGTTGTACATTTCTGTGATTTTATGGGCAGAAATTGCGTGTGAAGTGCATTGAGGTGTTTCAACACAAAATATACAGTCACTTTACAGTGTGTTCTGTGAAGCGCTTTGGGACGTCCTCCCGACGTGAAAAGCACTATATCAAATGCAAGGATTATTATTATTATTATAATTCACAATATATTCTTTGAAGCGCTTGGAGACATTTCAATGACGAGATAAGGCACTTTATCAAATGCAAGGATTATTATCATAACATGATAAGTGAGATATTAAATGCAAAGATTTATTTATTTAAAGCTCACCTATCCTTCAGAGAACTATTGGGGAGCTTGCCAACTGCCATCTAACATGCGGGCACCTCGCTCCAATATCGAGTGCCAAGCTCCAATATCAGGCGATAGCAGACAGCTCACCCTGTCTCAGCCCCGAGACGCTGTCCACAATTCACTTGAGCTTCCAGCGAGATCATCTCATTGTGAGAGCAGTGAGGAGAGGGATGTCTCAGCCACAGGTTAGAAATTGGAAGGAAAAGTTTTGTACCAGGAAACAACTTTTTTGCAGGGCTGTAGCCACTCCCCTCTCAATGCAAGATGACCTCATGGCCTCATACAGTGTGACTTCCTGCTCTCTTGTCTGTCATCAAGCTCCTGTCTCCTTGGTGACCTGTTCAAACTGGGACAGTGCTGCTTAGTGAGCTACCTGTTGCTTACTCTGCAGGGGGCAGGATGTTGCCATATTGTCACACAGAATTGCCATGGTTGAGATGAATAGGCTGGGAATGCTGCCAAAGCTGTGGAGTTCTCCTAGGTTTGTGGTAACAAAGGTGTGGGGGTCCCTGAGCTGTGGGTTGTCTTCTGAGGGGTGGGATGCAGACTTTATTGCCTCACAGTGTGGCTGCCTGCTCTCTTGTCTGTCATCAGGCTCCCGTCTCTCTGTTGACCAATATAATCTTGGACAGTGATACTCAATGAGCAAGTTTTTGCTTGGGATGGGTGTTGCCATGATGCCACAGAGAATACTATCTGAGGTGAACAGGCAGGGAACGCTGCCAAGGTGTGCAGTTCCCTGATGAGTGCAGTTCCCCTGGGTGTACAGTTCCCTAGGTGTGGGATCCCCCTCCATGGCTCCCAGCTGTGGCTTCCCTGGGGCTCTGATACCCCAGATGTGAATCCCCCAGCTGTGGCTTCCCTGGGGCTCTGATACCCCAGATGTGAATCCCCCAGCTGTGGCTTCCCTGGGGCTCTGATACCCCAGATGTGAATCCCCCAGCTGTGGCTTCCCTGGGGCTCTGATACCCCAGATGTGAATCCCCCAACTGTGGCTTCCCTGGGGCTCTGATACCCCAGATGTGAATCCCCCAGCTGTGGCTTCCCTGGGGCTCTGATACCCCAGATGTGAATCCCCCAGCTGTGGCTTCCCTGCAGTCAGTTACTTGAAGAGCTGCTGATTTTGATGCTGTTCTGTTCTTGTTATTTATCAATGATGCTCTTACTCATTGTGGGAGTTGAGGCTTACTCAGAGGGTTTTGAAGGAACCTGCAGTCTCGCAGGTTGAAGGAGCTTTGTGGAGTTCTAAATGTGTTTTACAGTGCCTTTTGCCCCTTGTTCAGCCAAGACAATCCTACCTTTTAGGGCTTTGGCTTTCAGGGTCAATGCAAAGTGAGTTGGTAGAATCCCTGCTCTCAGGAATGGCCTGGAGCCCGGCCTGCTCCTCCATGTCCTGCTGGCCCTCCATTGACAGTGCTGTTTTATATGGGGTGATCAGAAAGATAATGAGTTCAGTAAAATAAGTTGCCTTTATTGATCTGTAGTCAGCATACAGCAGCAATTGAGCCATTACAATGGGCAGTGCTCTCCTGGAGCACAGCATGTGGCACGTTTCAGACAAGACAATGTAATAAGGTGCATTAGAACAAAACTCTGAAGTGTGTGCATTAGTGTCCTGCTGAGACTATTAGTGCAGGCTGCCAACTCTCCACTCACAATATTTGTTTGCTGTCCCTGTGGCGGGGTTAATTTCGATAAGGTTGAGGCCTCGGCTTGTTTTGAGTTGGGGGGGTGGGGTAAGCGAAAAGATATATCAGTGCTTTGAGCACTTTCAACATCCTGGAGTAAGAAAGTGAAACACACAGATACAAGCAGATGTGTCATCAGTGATAATAATAATCCTTGCATTTGATATAGCGCTTTTCACGTCGGGAGGACGTCCCAAAGCGCTTCACAGAACACACTGTAAAGTGAATTGACTGTATATTTGTGGGCGAACGCGGCAGCCAATTGCGCACAGCAATGTCCCACAAACAGTCGTAGATTGAAAATGACCCAATTTTTTTTTTATTATTGTTTTTTGGTTTTTTTGGAGGGATTATTATTATCTTGTTGATACTCGTCAACAAGGTGATGTCTCACCACTGTAATCATAGACAGACTGCAGACATGGTTGGGAAGAGAGACTGCAGACATGGATGCAGTGGGCATGGAGAGAAGGAATAACATGACCAAATCCAGTGGCAGCCGGTTTCATAGCCAAGACCAATAATTTATATTTTGAAATAGACTGAGAACAGGAGAACTGTCTGCAATTGTTGTAGGCCTAGAAGCTTTCTTGCTTATAAAGCAGATATTTGAAAAGGTTAATGGTGTCCTTTGAGAACACAGACTTCAGATGAAGTGCACATATACATACCAAATGTTGCACACATCAGTTTTGAACCCTGCACCTGCTTGATTTGGATACAGTGACAGCTGACTTGAGCCCAGGTCCCATCACTGCATACAGGCTGGGGCGGGGGGAGGCGGATTACACCTCCATTTGCGACTCTGCTGTACTAGTGCAGTCACCACCATGGTCAAAAAATGGCAAAGAGGACAGATTGCTGGCTGCCAGACCCACTTGTTGAATAAACAGAAGCTTCCATCTGTCCCAGAGCACAAGACTCTGACACCTCCTCCTGTGGTATCTTTCATAACTTCCTTCTGCAACAGTTCATGAAATGGCAGGTTAAGACCAGGTGAGATGGTCCACAGCACGTCCCTGATCCTTTTGCTTCCTCTTCACAGACTTCCCTTAATGGGCAAAGGTGCCTGGGAATTAGTTTGTCATGTGTGTGGCTTGTGTTCAACCGAGCTTCCAAAGAAAGCTCTGGGGCTCCAGACACTGCCAAATCCCTGAGGACCCCAGAGAAATGTTCATGGTGGCAGAGGGGGTTTCAGAACTGATGATGAAGAAGCAAAACTCCCAGGAGAATGAGGGATATTCTGAGAAAGCAGACACAGGATACTAACAGGCATCCAAGTAATACACTCATAATGTTTGTGACACACACACACACAGATACAAACAAAATGTGCATATATACAACATGAAAGCACATGTGTACACTTCTAGGAATTGGTGATTTTCCACCTGGCATAAACAAATATCAATGACATTTCCCTGGTGTCTTGTTACACCAGTCAATGCTGAGTACCAAGCACTGCAACAGAGATGTCTGTGGTCTGGTCTTATACAAAAATGACCATCTGTATTGAACCAGCTTCCATTCCTTCACTTCTTTTACACTTTTAATAACATTTATTTTCAGACACAATCTACAAGTTTTTACTGTCCCTCCCTTGATGATTTTTTAAAGCCAATTTAGTAGCAAATTCTTCAGGGCTCAGTCTGCATGAGGGACCTGGAGCATTTACCTCAGCTCAGGTATTAACGCTGACCAGCTCATATTTCCAAGATCATAGTCCTCATCTTCCAATCCGGTGAAACTCAGGTCCAGGAGGATTTTGCTCAGACTATCATTCAGGGTGTCCAGGACCAGGCCTTCGGTCAAAGACCTGTTGGCTGAGGGGCCGCTGCTCGCCAGCAGCTCTCGGGAACACCGTTCCCCTTGGTCGTCTGCGAGGGGAGGGGAGAGGCTATGGGGGTCCAGCTCCTTGACTGGTGAATTCAACAGCTCCCTGGGTGATTCGAAGATAGCAAAATCCTTGAATGGGGTGCTACTGAGGCTGAGGTACCCGGGGTTGTTCCGCAGTGGAGTCAGGAAGGAGCCACACGGCGTCCTGACAGGGCTGAACTCAAAAAGGCTATCCTCTTTCTTCAGTGGGGTGAGACTGAACTTCCAGCCCTCACCTCCACCCCCAAGGGACGGACTGCTCCCCCCCTTGCTGGGGGTAGAGGAGGCAGGCAGGTCTCGGAAAGGCTTCTCTTTGATGGGAGTTTTGAAGTTGTAATCCGCAGATGTGCTGGCAAAGTCTGAACCCTGCTCCAGGGTTCTCGATTCATGGAAGGTGGAGAGGTCAGAGGCCATGCCGGAATCCATGCCTGGGTCTGGGAAATCTGGAAACAGAAGGACGGGCTCCTCCATGGGCTGAGGCACATGCCTCTGCTTCCGCCGAGAGGTGTTCTCTTTACACAGAGCCTCCTCTATTCTGAGTGCCGCCGAGGAGTCACAGGCAGTGGTGGGGAGTGGGGCAGCTCTGTGGATCAGTGGCAGGGCCTGATAGTCCATCATTAAATTCACTGGCTGATTGCTTGTCACAGGCTCACTGGGCACCTACCACACAGAAAAACACCAAATGCTTAAAACAGTCCAGTACAGAAGCTTACAGTAACCCCCCCCCCCCCCCGCCCACCAGCTCTCATTTAATTCCTGGGCCCAAGAAGCCATCTTCTGGCCTTTTGATGCCAAATACTCATTGAGATAACACCACCAATGGACATCTGGTTCCATCAATGGCAAATTTAATGAATATTAATATATAGCACCTTTCACACTGGGAGGATGTCTTAAGAGTACTTCACCGGATTCACTGCAAACTGTAGTGATTGTGCATTTCACAAGTGAATCGGAAACTCATGTGCACAGAGGAAGTTCTGACAAACTACCATGCAGTAAATGACAAATTTTATCTGGGGGATTGTTGGCCAGGACATTGGGAGAGATTTATGTTTTTTTTCAAATAGTGCTAAACAGACATAAGGTGGCCTTGGTTTAAGATCTGAAGGAGGACTCCTCTAACAATGCAGCGCGTATCCAACTGCATAAGAGTGTCATTCAGTTTCTAGATTGTGAGTTGAAATTCTTGATGTGAGGGCTTGAACCCACAACCTTCTGAGTCAGATACGCATGGGACAGAAGTTACCAAATAAGAGGTTGAAAGAAATCTTCGGGTGGATTTTGGCTTGTTCCTAACCGTGACAGCAATAAATGAGGGAAACAAGATTCTGGGCAACACTGTTAAATTGGTTGAATTCACAATCCCAGGAGTAATCCGTTCCTGTGAAATGCTCTGAGACGGCGTCCGGCGTGGAGAGCGCGATATAAATCCAAGTTGTTGTTGTTGTTAATGCTCAATCTGGTTTGGCTGCACCTAAAGGACTGTGTACAGTTCTGGCTGCCCAGAACACCAAGGCAGTGTTCAAGGCAGCAATAAGGATGATTCCCAGTGTCAGAACGGTAAGCTATGCGCTATGAAGGCTTGGCGAAATGGCTCTTCATCCTTGAAAAGAGACTTCACTGAGGGACCCTATTTTCCCCACCCTCTGTCACCAAACTCATCCTATCCCTGAAACCCACCATCTGCTCCCTTGACCCCACCCCCACTCCACTCCTTATCTCCCAGCTCCACCTCCTCACCCCACATATCACAGACATCGTCAACCTGTCCCTCTCCTCTGGCTCTGTTCCCATTCCCTTAAAAACTGCCACCATCACTCCCATCTTGAAAAAACCCTCCCTTGATGCGTCGCAGCTATCAAGCTACCGGCCATCTCCAACCTCCCCTTCCTGTCCAAGGTCCTTGAACGAGTTGTCGCCTCCCAGCTGCGCTCTTTCCTCTCCATCCATTCATTATTCGAACCCCTTCAGTCGGGTTTCCGTGCTGCCCATAGCACAGAAACTGCCCTGGTCAAGGTCACCAATGACATCCTGACCGTCTGCGACCAGGGCTCCCTCTGCCTCCTCGACCTATCGGCAGCATTCGATACGGTCAACCACACTATCCTCCTCCACCATTTGTCCTCCCACCTCAACCTTCAAGGCCCTGTCCTTGAGTGGTTTAGGTCGTACCTCTCCCACCGTCTTCACTTTGTTTCCACGAACGGCTTTTCCTCCAGCCCCTGCACTGTCTCGTGCGGTGTCCCTCAGGGCTCTGTCCTCGGTCCCTTCATCTTCACCCTCTATATGCTCCCCCTTGGTGACATCATCCGCAGACATGGGGTTAACTTCCACATGTATGCGGATGACACCCAACTCTACCTTTCCTCCTCTACCCTCAACTCCACGACCACCGATGTCCTGACAGCTGCCTGTCCGACATTGAGTCCTGGACGAGAGACAACTTTCTTCAGCTCAACGTGAGGCCCTCCTGATTGGCTCACGTCAGCGCCTCTGCACCTCAGGCGCTGACAGCATCAGCATCCAAGGCTGCACTCTCCACCTCTCAAAGCCGGTCAGGAAGCTCGGGGTTCTGTTCGACCCTGAGCTGTCCTTTCTCCCACAACTGGCACCGCCATCCATCACTTCCGGAATATCGCCAGACTACGGCACTACCTCACCCCTCACGCTGCTGAAACTCTGGTCCACGCCTTTATCACCTCAAGGCTGGACTATGGGAACTTTCTCCTCGCCGGCCTTCCTGGCACCTCCCTCCACAAGCTGCAGGTCATGCAGAACTCTGCAGCTCGTGTACTGTCCCGCACCAGGCTTCGCGACCACATCACTCCCACCCTCGCTCACCTCCACTGGCTCCCCATCCCCCAGAGGATCGAATTCAAGATTCTCATCCTCACCTACAAAACCATTCACGGCCTTGCTCCCTCCTATCTCGCCGACCTACTATCCCCCTATCTGCCCGTACCCTCCGTTCCTCTGGCTCCGGTCTTCTCCACATCCCCCGCCCCAAATGCCCTACCATCGATGGCCGGGCCTTCAGCCTCTCAGCCCCTAGGCTCTGGAACTCTATTCCCCAGTGCCTTCGCCTTGCCTCCTCCCTTTCCTCCTTCAAGGCCGGTCTCAAGACCTTTCTCTTTGACCGTGCCTTCAGCTCCCCTCTCGACTCTCTACCCCCTCCTCGCTCCCTCCCTTCCCTCCCCTCACCCTGACCATTTCCCCCCTGCTCGGGTCCTGACCCAACTGTACAGCGCCTTGGGACGTACTCCCGACGTGAAAGGCACTCTACAAATGGAATCTTATTGTTGTTGTTGTAGGTAGATAAGATACCAAATGGGACTGAGAAAGCAAATTCCTAAGAATATTTTCAAGATATGCTAAGGTAATAGGAATAAGACAAGGTTTGAATTGACACTAGGAATTAATTTGTTATACAGAAGGGATGTGAACAGGTAGATTGGTATACCAAGACGGTAGAGTGCATACTACTGTAATCAGTTAAGAAACGAGATGCTCTAATTGGAAGTTGGAAGTCAGCAGCAAAGAAGAGATCCAATAGTTGAAGGGCTTTCTTTGTGGGCACTTCTCCTGTTTTAATCTCTAACCTTGCCCCTTGCTCCTGACAAATTTCAAGTCAGTGACTGATCCCTTTGCTTACCTTGGGTGCAATTCTGATGCGCTTGCGTCTGCGGGTCAGCTCGGTGTAGGTGGAGCTGGTCAGCGGCACCTGGAGGGATGGCAGGGTGATGTGAGTGGACGGCTGCAGGATGAGGGGGGAGTTGAGTGACAGGGGAATGGGCACCAGATACGAGTCAGTACGAGGCAGCAACGGCTTCATCTTCCGAAACCCAACTTCTGTGCAAAGAAAGCAGTGAAAATATAGTTCACCTTCTCACCCCCTTCCCTATCCTCTCGCTCACTCCCCTCCCGAATCTTTCACAGACCCTTCCCCTCCTTTCACACTCCCCTCCCTTCACATCCCACTCCCCTCCTTTCACACACACACTCTAATCCCAGATCCTCCTTGGGTTGTAAATGGGAACTCCTTGGAGTTGAGGTGGTTCCAAGGTCTTTGGATAGTGCAGAAAACCAGGCTGATTCCACCCCCCACCCCCAACCCAGTGAGGCTGAGACCAATTTAACCATCGACGGATAATCTTGCTCAGATCAGTATCTCAGCCTATAATTTCCATTAACAGCCTATCAGCATGGCAGAGAGAAACTAAACAATACCTGTGCTCCCGGCCCCAGGGTTCTTCAGCAGATCGTTGCTCCCAGTTCGCTTTTGCTGCTAAAATTTCCAAAGTAAGAACGAAAAGGAAATGAAATGGCTGAAAATTGTGGGCCAACACAGATATAGGCTCCCTCAGCTCACCAAGCACAGGAACAGGCATGGAACCCTCCCCACCCACACCTCACCCCATTGAGCAGGAAACAGATTCTGTAGCTCACCAGGAAACAAAAAGGTAAGACGCTTCCCCTGAGCTGGAGAAGACATTGCCCCCTCAAGGAGGAGAGCAGCTGTAGTGGGCTGTCCAGTATATAATCACAAATACTGTATTAAACATTCTTAGTAAACATCCAAAAACAAGTTGATGCACATGGATAACAAGCAACAAGGTGTCCAGGAAGCCAGATGACATTTCAATGTAAGCAATGGGGACAGGAACCATCAGCTGAAGCAAACAGAAAACGAGACAGGAGATGGCATTGGTGATCTTACTTGGCAGAGCAGCAGGGGTGTTGCGCAGATCCAATGCGCCTGTTCGCTGGGGCTGTATCCCGGAGACTGCATGGAGGGAGCATCAACCCAGAATGAGAATTGGTTCAACATTAACACACAGGGAAAGGGAAGGTTCACTTCAAACCAGCAAAGGGCCAGCAAACACGTGCAAAATGTCACATGTTGTCCTGGAGCACTTCATCCAGCAGGTAGGATTGCAATGCCACAGAGGATATTCTCACTCACTTCCTTAGCGACGGGATACTCTGACATTGTAAACCCAGCAAGCATGCAGTCTGATCAAGCAATCTCTACTGTTCTGCCTTGGCTGGCTACTTTCCACAGGGGACCTATCTGCTGTGCCAGACATTACTACAACTGATTCAGAGAGAACTTGCAGCCCTAATGAACGCAGATTGATCAGCTGCTCCTTAAAGACTTCATCTTTGTCCCAACCAACTGTTCTTGCCCTAGTCTTCTCAGCAAATTGAGATTTTTAGCAACAGAACTAAGTGAGGAAACTGAACCCGGAAGAATCTACTGGTAAACAATAAGCCCATGCTGTGCAGCACACACCTTCACCACCTGATCAAGGGTCAGGAAGCGGTTGGCCTCGGCCCGGATGGTCCAATGGGATATCTTGCCATTGTGAGAGGTCTGGCGGATGAACATGTCGTGCAGGGACAGGTTGTGACGGATGGAGTTCTGTGAGAAAGAAGGCGAATGAGTCGAGATTCATGGGGAAGAAGAGTCAATCACTGAGGGAACTACAAGTTCTCACAGGCCCTTGCCTAATCTGATCAGAGAATGTTAACCAGCCAGAACAAAGCTGGATGTTTCACCCATTGTTTCCTCCTGTCCATTCCACAGATGTTTCCTGATCCCAGGCATCACTGACTGATCCAAACTGCTCTGGTTATTTTCCCATCAGCATGGACAAGGCAGGAGGTGTGTAGCAGTGACTGGAAAATGTGGGATGGGAGAACAGAAGTACACCGGCATTCCTGCATTTAATGGTTCCAGATTGGGGGCAGCTGCCAGGGGTGGACTGGGAGAGCCTAGGTGAGGACAGCTGGGAACATTTACAATCACTTAGAAGCTTCAATGAACAACAGAGATAGACCAAGTGCACATGACATGGAGTCTGAATGTGTTCTCACTCTGACATCTCTCCCCCTGGCTGAAATCCATGTTAACACATCTCTATAGAGAGGTTGAATGCTCTCAGCACCCACAACTTCACCTGTGCTCCTTTGGCCAGCCAAAAACCATCCAGGCACAGGCTCTGGGCAGAACGTGTTTATCAATGGGAAGGAGGTTTACAGATCCTAGATCTGGAACAAAGCAGCAAGAAGGAAAGAGATTGTGAATCTCCAACCTCCTCCCCCAAGGCAAGCAGCTGACCTAACACCAGTTATCTAGACACCGCATCTGTGATACCTACCTTCCAGCCAGGCTTGGCCACATGTTTGAAGTACGGGAAGTGATCTTCAATCCAGGTGTAGATTTCTTTCAGCGTCATTCTTTTGCTCTGGGTGCTGTTTATCGCAAACTGGATCATGGCCATGTAGGAGTAAGGGGGTCTCTCATGGACGGACTCCACCTGCAATCAGCAAATCACTCACATCCATTCTGAACATCAACCTTAAAGCAAATTTCACCTGCCTCGCACCAAACTCCCAGTGCCATCGTCTGAGAGTTAACTGAAGCTTAGACATTAGGTCCATGAGAAAAGCTCAATGTAACAAATACGCCCAGGTCAGGCACAACACATATAAGGCACACTAAAAAACCTCCCTTGACACTGTCCTATCAGCATTCTCAGGTAATGTACATCAAGAGTGAGATACAGAGTAAAGCTGGTTCTGAGCTGTTCTGTCAGCACTCCCAAGGTAAAGTACAACATATGAAAGAAAGATATTGTATTTTTATAGCAACTTGTTATGCCAAAATGTCTCAAAGGTCTTTGCAAGTTATTGACCTGGATGGAAATCAGAAGCAAGAACCCTGACTGATTTTCCCATCTGGAGTGCCAAAAGCTGCTGAAGCCAAAGTCAGCCTTGACTGACATCATTAACTGCATAATTAGATTGGAACAGAATCTGCAATGTCCCTGACCTACATGGCTCAGTTGCCCGTGAGCTGCAGCATTCAACGACCAAGAATGCTCTCAAAACATAAATGATAGAATGTATATAAAAACTGGGACAATTTGTATGATGGTCATGTTGTGAAGCATTTGTTGGCAGTGAGCAAAGAGGAGCAGGGGTTGAGAAATGTGCACTTGGTGTAGTCACACCGTCTCGGGCCGCTTGCCCCTACTGAACCCAAAGTGTAAATCACAAATTCCAAAACACTTCAAACCATTCAATTCATACCAGCACTTCATGCAAGAGGTCCATCAGCCACAACACAAAGTCTTTGCCCCTGTGACAGTGTTTTTATCTATGTCTGTTCCCAAAGGCCTGTGTGCCCTTGGTCCTGGAGCCCCCTGGCCTATGTAATCTGGGCCTGCCTACCCCAGCCCATGTGGCCTCTGATCTAGGGTCTGTGGCCTGTGCTGACTTTCTATCCACCACTTCCCAAGAATTCAGTTCCAATGTTTTTATCTCAAACAATAAAATCTTTGATGTGCCTTGTGTAAATACGACTTGCATATGGTGCATAACTTATAAAACTGCCAAGAAAAGCAGCAAATCTGAAGATTGAGAGTTTTAGAAACCAGCAAAAAAAAAACTAAAAGACACATTGAGAGCGAGAAATGGAGTATGAGGGTAAGCTAGCTGGGAACATTAAGTCTGATTGTAAAAGTTTTTACAAATACATTAAGAGGAATAGGCTAGTGAGGGCAAATGTAGGTCCACTTCAATCAGAGACGGGAGAAGTTGTAATGAGGGATAAGGACATGGTCGAGTCCCTAAATGGGTACTTTGCATCTGTCTTCACCCTAGAAGACACAACAAGTCTGCCAACAATAGAGGGGATAAGGACAGAGAGCAACTTAGGGAAATTTTCATTAGTAGAGAATTGGTGCGAGGGAAACTGTTAGCACTAAAAAGTGCCAATTCCCATCTTCCGGATGGCTTGCATCCCAGGGTTTTAAAAGAGATAGCTTATGAGACAGTGGAAGCCTTGTGTCTGAGCTTCCAAAATTCCTTGGATTCTCGAACAGTCCCCATGGATTGGAAGATCGCAAATGTCACACCACTATTTAAAAAAGGTGGAAAGGAAAAGATGGGGAACTATAGGCCAGTTAGTCTCACATCAGTGATAGGAAAATTTTTAGAATCGTTGATTAAGGATGTGGTAGTGCGGTATTTAGGGGAGCACAATATAATTAGGCCAAGTCAACATGGCTTTACAAAAGGGAAGTCATGTTTGACAAATCTCATAGAGTTTTTTGAGGATATTTCAAGTAAAGTAGATAAGGGTGAATCAGTGGATGTGATCTATTTGGACTTCCAGAAGACATTCGATGAGGTGCCGCATAAAAGGTTAGTCCAAAAGATAAGGGCCCATGGAATTGGGGGGAGCATATTCACGTGGATTGGGGAATGGTTAACGGGTAGGAAACAAAAGAGTAGGGATAAACGGGTCCTTTTCAGATTGGCGGGATGTGACTAGTGGAGTGCCACAAGGATCAGTCCTTGGGCCTCAGCTATTTACCATCTACATCAACGATCTAGATGAGGACATCAAAGTTAATATATCTAAATTCGCGGATGACACAAAACTAGGAGGAAATGTCAACACAGAGGATGACATTAAAAAAATGCAGCGCGACATAGATAGGTTAGGTGACTGGGCAGGTAGGTGGCAGATGAAGTATAATGTAGGGAAGTGCAAAGTCATCCACCGAGGTAGCAAAAACAGTAGAGCCGATTTTTTTTAGAAGGGGAGAGATTGGAATGTGTTAGCGTCCAGAGGGACTTGGGTGTCCTTGTACACCAATCGCAGAAAGTTAGTCTGCAGGTGCAGGAAGCAATTAGGAAGGCGAACGGTATATTCATTATGAAAGGATTAGAGTATAAGAGTAGGGAAATCTTGCTGCAACTGCATAGGGTCCTGGTGAGACCACACCAGGAATACTTGTGCAGTTTTGGTCTCCTTATTTAAGGAAGGATGTACTGGCCTTGGAGGGGGTGCAGCGTAGATTTACTAGGTTAGTACCAGGGATGAAGGGGATGAGTTACGAGGATAGGCTGACCAATTTGGGCCTATATTCTCTGGAATATAGAAGAATTAGAAGGGATCTTATAGAAACCTATAAGATCATCAAAGGGCATGATAGAGTAGACAGTGGGAGATTGTTTCCCCCGGTTGGAGAAACTAAAACCAGGGGGTCACAACCTTAAAATCAGAGGCCAGCCCTTTCGCACTGAGTTGAGGAAGAACTTCTTCACTCAAAGGGTGGTGAATGTATGGAACTCACTACCCCAAAGGGCTGTTGACGCTCAGTCCTTGAACATATTCAAGACTGAGATAGATAGATTTCTTATTGCGAAAGGTATTAAGGGATATGGGGATAAGGCAGGGTTAGGTTATTAGCTGGAGTTAGATTAGAAGATCAGCCATGATTGAATGGCGGGGCAGGCTTGAAGGGCCGAATTGCCTACTCCTGCTCCTACATGCTATGTTATAATAATCCCAGTGTTTATGAAAAGTTTGCAACCACATGGGCAGGAGCAGGCACTTACAGAGCTGCTTTCTGCTGGTGGTTCCTGGTTCTCCTTCTCCACCTCCTCCTTCACACTGCATGCACCCAGGCTGTCAGTGCTCATCTTACCCAGCCACTGGATGTTGGTCAGGCTGTCATCAAGGGGAGGGCCTCCTGGGCCTGTTGCACCTACGAATGTGGAACAAGATAGCAGAAATTAACATTGCCTGTCAAAGGATTAGTCAGCGGACAGCCCAGAGAATGCTCACTGGATATAGCACTTGGCACCTAGTACAATATACAATTCGAGGATCTGAAGTGTTCACATCCCACCCAAATGCAGAATACCTACAGTGAAGAGCTTACACTGGGGAGCCCAACACAGTCAAAGTACTGATTGCTCCCAAATCTGAATTGAAACCTCCATTTGAGAGGATATTCCAAATAGCCAACCCAAGGGCTCAGTAATTAACAGTTCAAACTTTGTTCATGAGTTTTAGAGATCATCTGATGCTCTGAATTCTGCAATCTAGGAGTTAGGAATACATCTTGCAAAGGAATCGGTTACTCAAAAATTATTCCTAAACTATACCGCACAAGACAGCATTGCAAGTCAACAACAACAACAAGATTAATTTGTATAGCGCCTTTCAGTTGGGAGGACGTCCCAAAGCGCTGGACAAAGTGTAGCATTTCAGACCCAAGCTGGGGTCAGGAGGGGAAGGGAAAAGGGGGTGGTCGATGGCATGGTCGAAGAGCAGGGTCTTGAGGCGGGACTTGAAGGAGGCTTAGGTGGGGGCGAGGCAGAGTGAGTGGGGGATGGAATTCCAGAGATTGGGAGCAGAGTGGCTGAAGGCTCTCCCGCCAATGGTGGGGCGGGTGGGTCAGGGGACGTGGAGCAGGCCAGAGACGGCTGAGCGGAGGGAACGGGTGGATAGGTGGGGGTTAAGAGGTCGCAGAGGTAGGGTGTGGCGAGGCCATGGAGGGCTTTGTAGGTGAAGACCAGCATCTTGAACTGGATCCTCTGAAGGATAGGGAGCCAATGGAGTCGGGTGAGAATGGGGGAGATGGGATCACGGTGTTTGGTGCGGGAGAGAACACGGGCTGCAGAGTTCTGGATTATCTGCAGCCGGTGGAGGGAGGAGTTGGGAAGGCCGACAAGCAAGACGTTTGCATAGTCGAGCCTGGAGGTGATGAAGGCATGAACAAGAGATTCAGCGGCCTGAGGGGTGAGGTAGTGGCGGAGTCGGGCAATGTTACGGAGGTGAGGGAAGGCAGAGCGGGTCATGGCTTGAATGTGGGGAAGAAAAGACAGTTGAGGGTCGAACAAGACACCCAGGTTCCTGACTGGCTCGGTGAGTTGTAGTGTGCAACCATGGAGGTTGATGCTGCCAGAGCCTGAGGTGCAGAGGCGCTGGTGTGAGACAATCAGGAGGGCCACAGTCTTGTTCACACTCAACTGTAGGAAATTTGCCCTCATCCAGGACTTGATGTCCGGCAGACAGTCTGTCAGGACAGCAGTAGTCCTGGAGAGACAGAGTTGGGTATCATCCGCATACACGTGGAAGTTGATCCCATGTCTGCGGATGATGTCAGCAAGGGGGAGGATGTAGATGTCAACACAATACAACAACTAACATTTATATAGCGCCCCTCACGCTGGGTAATTGTCTCTTTGCGCTAGACAGTGGCGGAGCATGACGCTGAGCTGGGGGAAGGGGGAGGTGACTGTAGGCACTGTCTAAGTGGAAGGTCTTCAGGAGCAACCTGAAGATGGGGAAGGGGCAGGACGGAGGGATAGAGGGTTCCAGAATTTTGAGGTGTAGTGACTGAAAGTGCAGTCGCCAATGGTGCAACGGAGGGCATGAGGGACATGCAGAAGGTCAGAGCCAATTGAGCTGAGGCATTGAGTTGTGGGGTAAGCAGGTCAGAGAGGTTGGGAGATGCCAGGGCATGAAGGGATTTGAAAACGAGTGTGAGGATCTTGAAATTGATTCATTCGGTGATAGAGAGTCAGTGGAGCCTGGCTAGAACTGGTTTGATGGGATTATAGAGTTTTCTGTGGTGTTTTGGATTAGCTGGATCCTGTACATAGTGGAGCTAGGGAGACGGGCAAAGAGGGTATTTGAAAAGTTGAGTCGGGAGGTGACAAATCCATTTTTCAACTGCGTCTGGGGTAAGGTACAGTCGGGGGTGGGCAATGTGGCGGAGGTGGAGAAAGGAAGTCCTGGTCAGGGACCAGATGTGGGGAAGAAAGGACAGCTGTGGGTCGAACCTGATGCCTAGGTTGTGCACTGGTTCGGTTTACTGGGAGGTTGAGGAGGTCAGTGCCGCAAGATAGACGATGTTGATGGGAGCTGAGTATGCCTTCCATCTTGTCAACATTTAGTTGTAGAAAGTTTTCGCTCCGCCAGGCCCTGATGTCCGCCAGACAAGCTGGCAGAATATCGGTCGACCCGGACTCGCAGCTGGTGGAGGAGAACTAGATGTGTGGGTCATCTGCATACATTTACGTTTAACCCGTTTCTGTGGATGACATCATTACGACGGAGTACATAGATGAGGAAGAGGAATGGGCCGAGGATGGAGTCCTAGGGTACACCACAGGTGACCGGGTGGGGGGGAGAAACCAGTCTACGAGGTCCCACTTAGATGGATGAGGATGACTTGCCCGACTGTCGAACACGGCAGAGAGGTCCAGGAGGACAAGGAGGCAGAGAGAGCCCTTGTCACAGAGAGCGAGGATGTCGTTTGTGACCTTGACAAGCACCGTCTCTGTGCTATGGGCAGGGGGGAAATCAGACTTGAGGGCCTCGTGGAGGGAGAGGTGAGAGCAAAGTTGGTTCCAGAGCTTTGGCAAGAAAGGGCAGATTGGAAATGCGATGGTAATTTGTGAAGTTGGGAGGGGTCAACGGTGTTTTTTTTGAGGAAGGGAGCGATGGCAGCAGTTTGAAGGAGGAGAAGAACAGAACCTGAGGAGAGCGACTGTTTGACTGTGTCGGCCAACAGCAGGGAGAGGAGGGCAGGTTGGGTGACCAGCAACTGGGTGAGGAGGCAGCAGGTGGTGGGCTTCATCTGAGAGATGGTGGTTGAGAGGGAGGGGGGAGTTTGGGAGTAAAAGGCACTTTGGGCCTGCGAGAGGAGATAATTGCTAAGATCCTCAAGTCATACCTGGCGGTGAGGCCAGATATGTACCATCTGCACTTGAGCACGCGGGTTTTAGTTTTGAAAGAGCAAAGGTTGTACCAGTGGAGCGGGTAGATTTGGAGACAGCCCTGGATTTCAGGGGGGCAGGCAGTTGATGATTGCAGAGAGGCAATCGTTTAGAAGATTGATGGCTGCATCAGGATCGTTGCGGCTGGAAGTTCAGAGGGAGAAGAGATCCGAGGAAGAGGGACTCGGGTGGAAGTTTTTTCCAAAGTCGGAAAAAAATGATGGAGGGCTAGGAGGAGCGGTGGGGGATGCGGGAGGAGAGGGAAATGAGGAAATGGTCTTAGATGGCCTTATCTATGATGCTCAGATCAGAGCTGTCAAGGCCATGAGCGATAACAAGGTTGAAGGGATGCCACAGCTGTGAATCGGGGCGTTTATGTGGAAGGTGAGTGTGGAGAGGAGGGCAGTGAAGACAGAGGAGATGGGGCAAGAGGTGTTTAGGTGGAGGTTGAAATCACCCATTATGACCAGGTGTTCAGAGGGATGAGAGGAGAGAGATGTCAGGGATGAAGAAGCCAGGCGGTTTGGGAGGACAGTAAATAAGGAGGATTTTGAAGGTGAAGGAGCGGAGGTACTGGTTTAAATGTTCAAAAGAGGGGAAGGAGCCAGAGTAATAGGGGGATAAAATAGAGGTTGGAATCGATTTCAAAGGATCAATGGTTAAAACATAAAATAACTGATCCCAGAAGTGAGTGACAGGCTGGAATCTGATTGGGTATTTGGTGGATTGAAACATATTCCCTTTTAATAAATCTGTTTTTAGCAATGTTGTATCTTGGGACAAGTCTCCTGTGCCAGGTTATTTCCTACCTGTACCAGCTTCCTTGTTGGTGAGAGTCAAAGGTACCAGAGTATCCGCTGTTTCGAAAGATGGAAGTTCCTCCTCTTTTTTGATGATTCGTAAGCCGAGATCAGCCGGATGTACCTGGTCACTTACAGCAGCAATGCGGAGGTCAGGCTCCCCTTGACATGTCACAGACTTTCCACCACCTTGGCTGAGCGGTTGAATGCCAGTCTCGGAGGTGCGTGGATCTTTGCTGCTCACAGATGGCCCATAGCGAGACGATGATGAGCCATTGCTGCTCAGCAGAATAAACTTTTTGGGGCCATTGGTGCCACTCTCTTTGCCTTTCGCTGTCAGCACTTTGATGATGCTTTGCAAGTCCGCATTGCGTGGAATCACCACCACTTGGGTGTTGGGTATAGATGGGTGATTGGCAATCCGAATACCCTCGGGGAATTTCTGGCTCTCAAGCTGTGGGTCATGTTGTGAGGTGCCCATGCCACCAATCCCTGGGCAGCCACTTGCCACATCACACCCACTACTCCCACGTTTGCTTTTACCGCCGTCGGCCTCATCCCGACCAGGATCCTGCTGCACGTCTGTGGGCCCGCTGAAGCTCAGGGGCCGTTTCCTGCGTTTCAGGATCAGAGGTCTCCTTGGGCTCGCCTTCATTTTAACCCCTACAGCAGCCTCGCCAGCATCAGTCTACAAAGAACCTGTAACAACACAACAAATGAGAAACAATCTGATGTAAAGAAGCAGGCGTGGCAGGTCACAAGGACTTACTCTCTCTGAGGCACCATTTACAGATTTACAATAATCCTTGCTTTCGATAAAGGACTGATAATAGGCTCTCAAATGTAGTGATTTTTGTTGGCAATGTAAGTCATTTTGGGCACAGCAATTGTCAATGTCAGTCTGCATCAGTGGAAGCACTCCTGTCTCTAAGTCAGAAAATTGTGGGTTACGAACTCACACAATCTACGATGACACTCCAATGCAGTGCATGGTCGGATGTGCCATTCTTCAGATGAGACTTTAAATTAAGGTCCTGTCTGCCTGTTCAGGTGGACGTTAAAGAACCCATAGCTATTCAATATGAGGAGGGAGTTTCTCTCGTTGTCCCGGTGATTATTATTATTATTATTGGCAGCCACACAGTGAATGACCAATTTGTTTGGAGGATTGCCGGCCAGGACACTCCGAGATGCTTCCTTCTATTTTCAAATGTCTAACTCTTTTCAGGATTTCTAATATCGAGCTAAACAGGTAGATGGAACCATAGTTTAATGTCTTAGTTTAATAAGAACCGGCTTGAGGGAGGGGAGGCTGTGATCCCGGAGGCCTCAGATAGCAGTGAAATTGTAGCATCTCTGACAATCTGACTCTGTGTGGATGTGACCAGACTATGTTCAGGTTCCTGATCCATTCCCATATCACTGTTCCAGGAACCCCTCATTTCCTGTCTGAGTGACTGTGCAATCACTGCTAACCTGAGGCTGGGGATCACAGCCTCCCCTCCCTCAAGCCGGGTCTTGAGACCCATCTCTTCAACCTCACCTTTGGTCAACTCACCGACTCCCTCCCTCCCCCCTCCCGATCCCAAACCCCCAGCTTGGGTGCAAATCATTGACTGTCCAGCGCTCTGGGAATACCTCCATCCTCCCAATGTCAAAGGTGCTATACATATGCAATTTGTGTTGTTCTCGTTGATCCATCTCTTACCTGCATGGTTAGGCTTTTAGGGTCTGCTCTGTCCGCTCTCTCCGGGGGCCGGGGGGGGGGCTGTCCGGGGGCCGGGGCCGGGCCGGGGGGGGGGCTGTCCGGGGGGGGGGGGGGCTGTCCGGGGGGGGGGGGGGGGTGTCGGGGGGGTGCTGTCCGGGGCGGGGGGGGCTGTCCGGGCGGGGGGGGCTGTCCGGGGGGGGGGGGCTGTCGGGGCCGGGCCGGGGGGGGCTGTCCGGGGGGGGGGCTGTCCGGGGGGGGGGGGGGCTGTCCGGGGGGGGCTGTCCGGGGGGGGCTGTCCCGGGGGGGGGGGCTGTCCGGGGGGGGGCTGTCCGGGGGGGGGGGGGGGGGGCTCCGGGGGGGGGGGGGGGGGGGGGGGGGGGGGGGGGGGGGGGGGGGGGGGGGGGGGGGGGGGGGGGCTGCCTCCGGGGGGGGCGGGGGGGGGGGGGGGGGCTGTCCGGGGGGGGGCTGTCCGGGGGGGGCTGTCCGGGGGGGGGCTGTCCGGGGGGGGGGCTGTCCGGGGGCGGGGGGGCTGTCCGGGGGGGGGGGGGGCGGGGGGGGGGGGGGGGGGGGGGGGGGGGGGGGGCGGGGGGGGGGGGGGGGGGGGCTGTCCGGGGGGGCTGTCGGGGGGGGGCCGGGGGGGGGGCCGGGCCGGGGGGGGCTGTCGGGGGGGGGCTGTCGGGGGGGGCCGGGCCGGGGGGGCTGTCCGGGGGGCTGTCCCTGATTGCCCGCTAACAGTCCTGGGCTGACAGATTGTAACCACTCGGGGTGTCCGCGTGTTGCCGCTGTGGGCTCTCGGGGGGCGGATGGTACCGGAGCTGTTAGTTTGTAGCCAGTGGTGGTGGTGGTGGTGGTCTCTCGGTTCCGGGTTGATGTTCTGGCGGTAAATCCGGAAGTCAGAGCCTTGTTGGTGCCGCAGTGTGTTCCGGGCTGTGCCGGAGTGTCCCGCTCTGGGCGGAGCTGATCTTTATTACTTGGTTCCGGGGTCTCTCGCTGCGGCTCAGTCTGTGTCTGATCTGTTTCTCTGAGTCAGTCTCTCCCGCTCTCCAGGATCAGTCTCTCTGGTCTCAGTTTCCTCCTCTGTCTCGGCCCAATGTCTCTCTGGTCTCAGTCTCCCCCGCTTCTCTGATCTCAAATCTTTCTTTCTCTCAGTCTATTTTAATGTCTTTGCCCCCACTCGCTCCGATCTGACTCTGGACTCAGTCTGTGTGTGTGTGTGTGTGTGTGTGTGTGGGTCAGTCTCTGTGTGTGTGTGGAGTCAGTCTCTGTGTTGGGGGGTCAGTCTCTGTGTGTGTGTGGAGTCAGTCTCTGTGTTGGGGGTCAGTCTCTGTGTGTGTGTGGGGTCAGTCTCTGTGTTGGGGGGTCAGTCTCTGTGTGTGTGTGTGTGTGGAGTCAGTCTCTGTGTTGGGGGTCAGTCTCTGTGTGTGTGTGGAGTCAGTCTCTGTGTTGGGGGTCAGTCTCTGTGTGTGTGTGTGTGTGTGTGTGGAGTCAGTCTCTGTGTTGGGGGTCAGTCTCTGTGTGTGTGTGTGTGTAGTCAGTCTCTGTGTTGGGGGTCAGTCTCTGTGTGTGTGTGTGGAGTCAGTCTCTGTGTTGGGGGTCAGTCTCTGTGTGTGTGTGTGTGGAGTCAGTCTCTGTGTTGGGGGTCAGTCTCTGTGTGTGTGTGGAGTCAGTCTCTGTGTTGGGGGTCAGTCTCTCTGTGTGTGTGGAGTCAGTCTCTGTGTTGGGGGTCAGTCTGTGTGTGTGTGTGTGTGTGTGGAGTCAGTCTCTGTGTTGGGGGGTCAGTCTCTGTGTTGGGGGTCAGTCTATGTGTGTGTGTGTGGAGTCAGTCTCTGTGTTGGGGGTCAGTCTCTGTGTGTGTGTGTGTGTGTGTGGAGTCAGTCTCTGTGTTGGGGGGTCAGTCTCTGTGTTGGGGGTCAGTCTCTGTGTGTGTGTGTGTGTGTGGAGTCAGTCTCTGTGTTGGGGGTCAGTCTCTGTGTGTGTGTGTGTAGTCAGTCTCTGTGTTGGGGGTCAGTCTCTGTGTGTGTGTGGAGTCAGTCTCTGTGTTGGGGGTCAGTCTCTGTGTGTGTGTGGAGTCAGTCTCTGTGTTGGGGGTCAGTCTGTGTGTGTGTGTGTGTGTGTGTGGAGTCAGTCTCTGTGTTGGGGGTCAGTCTCTGTGTTGGGGGTCAGTCTCTGTGTGTGTGTGTGGAGTCAGTCTCTCTGTGTGTGTGTGTGTGTGTGTGGAGTCAGTCTCTGTGTTGGGGGTCAGTCTCTGTGTGTGTGTGTGTGTGTGGAGTCAGTCTCTGTGTTGGGGGGTCAGTCTCTGTGTGTGTGTGTGGGGTCAGTCTCTGTGTTGGGGGTCAGTCTCTGTGTGTGTGTGTGGAGTCAGTCTCTGTGTTGGGGGGGTCAGTCTCTGTGTGTGTGTGGAGTCAGTCTCTGTGTTGGGGGTCAGTCTGTGTGTGTGTGTGGAGTCAGTCTCTGTGTTGGGGGTCAGTCTCTGTGTCTGTGTGTGTGTGTGTGTGTGGAGTCAGTCTCTGTGTTGGGGGTCAGTCTCTGTGTGTGTGTGTGTGTGTGTGGAGTCAGTCTCTGTGTGTGTGTGTGTGGAGTCAGTCTCTGTGTTGGGGGTCTGTCTGTGTGTGTGTGTGTGGAGTCAGTCTCTGTGTTGGGGGTCAGTCTCTCTGTGTGTGTGTGTGTGTGGAGTCAGTCTCTGTGTTGGGGGTCAGTCTGTGTGTGTGTGGAGTCAGTCTCTGTGTGTGTGTGTGGAGTCAGTCTCTGTGTGTGTGTGTGTGTGTGTGGAGTCAGTCTCTGTGTTGGGGGTCAGTCTCTGTGTGTGTGTGTGTGTGGAGTCAGTCTGTGTGTGTGTGTGTGTGTGTGGAGTCAGTCTCTGTGTGTGTGTGTGTGTGTGTGTGTGTGTGGAGTCAGTCTCTGTGTTGGGGGTCAGTCTCTGTGTGTGTGTGTGGAGTCAGTCTCTGTGTGTGTGTGTGTGTGTGTGGAGTCAGTCTCTGTGTGTGTGTGTGTGTGGAGTCAGTCTCTGTGTGTGTGTGTGTGTGTGTGTGGAGTCAGTCTCTGTGTTGGGGGTCAGTCTCTGTGTGTGTGTGTGGAGTCAGTCTCTGTGTGTGTGTGTGTGTGTGTGGAGTCAGTCTCTGTGTGTGTGTGTGTGTGTGGAGTCAGTCTCTGTGTTGGGGGTCAGTCTCTGTGTGTGTGTGTGTGTGTGGAGTCAGTCTCTGTGTGTGTGTGTGTGTGTGTGTGGAGTCAGTCTCTGTGTGTGTGTGTGTGTGGAGTCAGTCTCTGTGTGTGTGTGTGTGTGGAGTCAGTCTCTGTGTTGGGGGTCAGTCGGTTCCCAGATGTTTTTGAATTTCCAGCGTTCTGTCTGAATCCACCAATAGAGTGACACGCGATGCGCCACGTGGGGCTCGAGCTCCAATGGGCGCGATTGGAACGCCAACCGCGAGCACACGCTGGAACTCGTTGAGGACCAATAAGATTAGCGGAGCCACAGCGACACTGACACACAACCCGGAAATAAAATGAGTTCTACCCACCAGCTGCACAGTCACACACACAGACACACACACAGACAGATAGACACACACACAGATAGACAGACAGACAGACAGACAGATTGAGAGAGAGACACACAAACAGTCAGAGACATAGATTGTGAGTCACAGAGAGACACACACGCGTAGACACACACAGTGTGTGAGGGAGTCTCATACAGACACAGAGACTGTGAGATTAACACATACAGTTAGAAAGTCGGTGTGTGAGAATCGACATACACACACACACATAGAAACAGACATATGGAGAGAGAAAGAAAAATAGATAACACAAAAACGTAGAGAGAGCAACACACACAAACAGAGTGAGTGATAGATACACAGTGAGAGACAGACACACACAAACACAACGCACAATCAGAGGGAGACATGCACACAGAGCCTGAGAGAAACAGCCATAGGTCAGGATTTAAGTTGAACTGACCACCAATTTGGGACAGAAACACAGTAAAGATTAACTGTCTGGATTAAGGCAGAAACTGGTACAGAGAGGGAGAGAAGACCAGAATGAGTTCTCGTATGAGATAAAGACAGCCTAAGACTTTGACACGTTGAATACAAAGCGAAAATCTGGACTAAATCTTGGATTCAGACAGAGTCTGAGACACAGGTTGAGAGGGAAACAGGCTGGATACAGCCATAAAAGTGAAAGAGACAGGATCACAGCCTGAATCAGAGATATGGCCTGGGGAAGAGCTGGGACACAGGTAATGTTCCATATATAATTATTATATTGTTATGGGTATGTTTCGCTGACTGTTAATAAACATATAGGTGTCTGATGGGAGAAAAAGAAGCAAACATGATTTTCCTGTCATACGGAGTACTTGATATAACTGGTTATTGTGAGGCGGTCCAATGCTGGACCAAACACCGTGTAGTGATGAGGATGGTCCAGCAGGTTACAGTGAGTACACATGGAACATTGACATAGTTGTACTGGAGCAGGGCAGGAATACAACGGGTGGAGGATCCTTTTTGGTTATGACTAAGAGATGGCAGGTGTCTGAAATATGTCTGATTACTGATTAATGTTTTTGTCAGCTTGGTTGTCTGACATGCAGAAACCCAATGTGCACTATGCCTCTTTGAAAAGGCACGATGGGCCGAATGGCCTCCTCCTGCGCTGTAGGATTCTATGATTCCATGATATATGTCAGCGTGGTCCAACCTTGCCCGGTGGGTGGCTCGGTAACCATTTTGGACTTCACAGTTTGATCTCCCTGCTGCACCTCTCTCCTGGTTAGTCTGTGTCCTGCGGCAGCATGAGGCTGCGCAGAGAGTGACAGGAAGAGGGGTGGAGCGGGAGGACTCCAGCTACGCCGCCCCCCCCTCCTTTCTCCGCACTACTCGTACCTTGTGTAACCTGTGGACATACGGGAAGAATCTAGGCCCAGCAGGAATATGAGTCTCATTAGGAAATGGAAGATAGAAGTGGAAAATAGAGGATTTCAGTGTAAGTGGGAAATTGATTAGTTGGTTATTGAAAATAATGGGAAACCTTAGTTGCTTGCTTGAAAGTAACATCTGTGTGGAAGGAGTTCAACATCAGAAGGTGCTATAACATACAACACAAGACAAAATGCAACAAATATTCTGGTTTGTGCATTTGGTGATGGAAAAATGGCCAATAATTTTGAAAGTGTAGCACTGTCTCCCCAAACTGTGGCAAGGAGAATAAGTGACATCCACGAACACGTGAATACAAAGCTCAGGACAATCGTTGAAAAATCTGAATACTTCTCATTAGTTCGAGACGAGAGGACTGACGTTACTGATTTCAGTCAGCTATTAATTTTCATCGGAACTATTGATGAAAATGTTGTTGTTCATGAAGAATACTTGAGCTAATTTCCTCCAAAAACTGCTTTAAAAAAAAGGGGTTAGTTATTTACAAGGTTCTTACTTCAACTGTCAGTAAATATGGTGGATTTCAGAAGTGTTCCTGCATTGTGACGGATGGTGCAAAATCAATGACCGTCTGTAAAAATGGTTTAATAATAATAATCCTTGCATTTGATATAGCACCTTATCACGTCTTCGAGACGTCTCAAAGCAGTTCACAGAATATACTGTAAAGTAAATTGACTGTATATGTTGTGGGCGAAACATGGCAGCCAATTGTGCACAGCGCAGGTTTGTTGAAACAAAATGGAATTGAGTGTACTATCACTGCATCATACACTAGGAGTCCCTTTGCGGAAAACCAGTGAAAATGAATAATACTATGAGCAGTGTCATCAAAGTAATCATTATTATCCACAGAGGAATTCAAGCACAGAGTCACAGAACGTTCATAAACTCCCTTGAAAAATGAGATGCAGAATATTGTGATTTACCTCTTTATTCAGAAGTGCGTTGGCTGAGTGGGTGCAACTGCCTCGTGCAGTTTTTTTCACTCAGGTAGGAGGTACTTAATTTCTCATGGAACATTTAAAGAGCAACCCCGCACAGTTTGAAGAGGAATTAGAATATCCAACTTACCTATGTTCATTGGCTTTCTTAAAAGACATAACAAGCCATCTCAACATCCTCAATTTTCAACTACAAGGTAGAACTCAGAATATTTCTCACCTTATGTGAGATGTTGATGGGTTCTGCATAAAGCTACAAATGTTGAACTCATCCCTCTCGCAGAACAATCTTACTCATTTTCCATCATCATGGAACTTGCAACTGAACTTGATGATGCTGATTTTCACAGCTTTTTGGAAATCATAACAGAGCTATTGGATGAGTTCAGTGCCAGATTTGCTGATAATGAGGGTCTGAGGTCCAGACTTCAACAATCTGATGGAGGTGTTGATTGGGCAGCAACCAAAAGATCTTCAGATGGAGATGTGTGAACTGCAGGGTGACCCTTTATTCCTCTCAAGTAAGAATGAGATTCATGAAAATTTCTGGAAAATTATTCCTAAGGATTGTTTTCCTAAATAAAATGACTTTGCACTGAAGATGTGTTCTATTTTTGCAACCACATACATTTGTGAAAGCATGTTTTCTACAACTTGTTAAGTCCAGACATCGTAACAGGCTTAATAGCAATACCTTTGGGTGCTGTCTCCGACTTGCCATGACTAAATTTGAAGGAGACACTGGAGCTCTGGTTCAAGAGAAACATTTTCCTCAGGAGAGGCTAGAGAAGCTAGGATTATTCTCCTTGGAGCAGAGAAGGTTAAGAGGAGACTTAATCGAAGTTTTCAAAATTATGAGGGGATTGTGAACAAGAAAAACTATTTCCACTAGCGGGTGGGTTGGTAGTCCGAGGACACCAATTTAAAATGGTTGTTGAAAGAAACAGGGGAGGTGAGGAGAAATGTTTTCACACAGCGAGTTGTTCGGATTTGGAATACATTGCCTGAAAGGGTGGTCGAAACCGATTTGATAACGACTTTTAAGAGAGAAGTAGATAATTATTTGGGGGGTACAAGTTTGCAGGGCTATGGAGAGAGCGCGGGGAAGTGGGATTGATTTGAATACCTCTTTTCAAAGAGCCGGCACAGACATGATGGGCCAAATGGCATTCTTCTGTGCTGTATAATTCTATGATTCTATGATTGTTCCCACTAAGATATTTAGTGGTCTTCTAAGTGTCAAGAAAATGTATGTTAAGTAAAATAATTAGATTATATGTAGATTTAGAGTGGATTGTATGATAATTGTTGTATATTAATATTATTTTGAATTATATAATCAAAATAATCTTTATTCAAAAGTTTCTTTATTGTGTTCCTTTCTTAGTTTTACAATTGTGGATTAATCTGTTTGGGTTTTGTTGAGTATTCTTTGCTGGGGTCTCCACGTGTTGAGTTGATATATTGTGTTTTGACTTTTTAATACATTAAAAAAAATTGTGAAACAATTTAAAACATAGGATTTCTATATGATTCTTTGTGCTTCTGGAAGGGAAAAATAAAAATATATCTTATGCAGTCTGCAGACATCTCACACATGTGAAATCTGGCCCTCGACACCAAAAAGGTTGGACCACCCTAATATAAGAATGTGCACTCTCTCCTTGGAGAGACGCACCCTGATTCTTATTCCAGAAAGTATTATGGTACAATATACATTTATATAGCTTTTGCTGTCTGGAAAAGGAGGCAAAGCACATTCACGGTGCTGGTTGACACCAATCACTCAGAACAGTGGCTTCATGCTATCGATCAGATGTTGTATCAAAACATACAACAAAGGACCGTTGATATGGGGTGCAATTTTAGAAGATACAGTTAGAAACAGGCAGCCTACAATGTTTATGTTGTGTTCAAAGTGCACCTTTTCCACTTTTCCTTCTGGCTATTTGCACAATGGCATTCTTGTTTTGATTGGTGGACACCACAACTGAGTCTGATACTGCCCTCTCCAGACATTATTGAAAAACAGAAGGGATTTTCTCCTGGTGTCCCGACCGGATAAAATTATCCACGTCATGGCTATTGGTGGGACATTTCTGTGCACAAATGGGCTGCCACATCTGGCTGTAAAATGTAGTCACTAAACTTTACATTAAATCATGAGAAGTACATTGAGACATCCTCTCACCATGAAAATCACCATATCAAATGCAAGGATTATTATTATCATCCCTATGTACACCTTTCACAAGGATAGGAATTGGAAGCGGGGAAGCCATCTGTTTTTTTTCACCCTCTTTAGACCCAACGATACTGATTCCAAATGTCATGCTCTATCGCTTGCTTGGGTGAAATCAGCTAACTTGAATCTGGGACTTTCCTGGTTATATTAACATTTGGTGAAGTTCCTATAGTTACTTACTATTGATTGTAAACATGGTGTTCTCTCTCTCCCAAGGTCGAGATGCCAGATGACTGATGCCCCGAAAAAAGCCACCAAGCCATGGCAGGAAGGACCCTTTGTTGTTTTTGGAGTCTCCAGTGAAGGGACGGGAGTGTCTGACAGTGCCCCCATTGCCGTGTGCGGTAAACCCACAGCAAGTCCCCAGTGTGCCCATCAAGCAGAGTTCTTCGTTTTTAACCTGGGTAGGTTACGTTCTGTGTTATGCAGCTGTGAGGCGTCAGCCTGGCTCAATTCATAAAGCTACTCCCCCTGAGTCAGAAGGTTCAAACTTCACATCGAGAATTTGAACTTTCAGATCTGACATGATCAGGTGGGGGAGCGCTGCATTCTCAAAAGGGCCCTCCTTTGGATGAGATTTTAAACCGAGGTTCAGTCTGCCTGTTCAAGTGGGCGTTAAAGATCCCACAGGCCAATTTGAAAAAAGAAGGGAGTTTCTCTAGGTGGCAGGGCCACCAGTTCCTCAGATAAATTGGTCTACTCCAGATCTCCCACCCGACCCTCCCTACCATCGGCGGCCGGGCTTTTGGCCTCTCTGCTCCCCATCTGTGGAACTCCATCCCACAATCCCTTCGCCTTGCTCCCTCTCTTGCCTCCTTCAAGGCACGTCTCAAGTCCCTCCTTTTTGCCCGTGCCTTCAGCTGCCCTCCTACCCCCTCTGCCCTCCCTCATCCCAACCTTTCCCCCCACACTCGGGTCCTGATCCTTGACTGTTCAGCGCCTTGGGTAGTCCTCCCGACATGAAACACGCTTTACAAATGTAATTTTGTAGTTGTCACTCTCTCCAAGGCCATTTGTGGAATATTATTGTGTGCAAATTGGCTCCACGTTTACTTGCAAAATAGCAGTCACTGGGCATTACAGAAAATCCTGTGATGCGCTTTGAGACTCCACTTGACATGATAGGTGCTATGTCAAATGCAAGGATTGTTATATTTATTATTTCACTGGTGAGCATGTGCGGCCCTTAGATTAGAGTGTTGATAACATTTGCTTGGCTGCCTCCTCCTCCTCCCCTCTAGTGGATTGCTGCAAGGATCAGTGCTTGGGCCTCAACTGTTTACAGTCTACATCAATGACTTAGATGAGGAAATAGAGCTGAATGTATCTAAATTCGCTGATGATACAAAACTAGGTGGGAAAGTCAGCTGTGAGGAGGACACAAGGAGGATGCAAAGGGATATAGATAGGTTAAATGAGTGGGCAAGAAGGTGGCAGGTGGAGTATAATGTGGGGAAGTGTGAAGTTATTCACCTAGGTAGAGGGGGAAACACTAGATAGTGTTAGTATTCAGAGGGATTTAGGTGTCCTTGTACACCAATCACAGAAAGTTAGTATGCAGATACAGCAAGCAATTAGGAAGGCTAATAGCATGTTAGCGTTACTTGCAAAGGGGTTAGAGTACAAGAGTAGGGAAGGCTTGCTGCAATTGTATAGGGCCTTGGTGAGACCGTACCTGGAATATTGTGTGCTGTTTTGGTCTCCTTATCTAAGAAAGGATATACTTGCCTTAGAGGGGCTACAACGTAGGTTCACTAGGTTGGTTCCTGGGATGAGGGGGTTGACCTACGGGGAGAGGTTGAGTAGACTAGGCCTATATTCTCTAGAATATAGAAGAATTAGAAACCTATAAGATTCTTAAGGGTCTTGACAGGGTAGATATTGTGAGACTGTATTGCTTGTTGGAGAATCTAAAACTAGGGGTCAAAGTCTCAGGATTAAAGGTTAGCCTTTTAGAATTGAGTTGAGAAAATATTTCTTCACTCAGATGGTAGTGAATTTATGAAATTCTCTACCCCAGTAGGCTGTGGATTCTCAGTCATTGAACATATTCAAGACTGAGATCGATAGATTTTTTAAAAAAAAACTAAAGGGATTAAGGGATATGGGAATAGGGCAGGTAAATGGAATTTGGTTAGAAGATCAGCCATGGGGCAGGCTCGAGGGGCCGAATGGCCTACTCCTGCTCCTATTTCTTATGTTCTTATGTTCTCACATGTCACCTACCACTCTCCCCATGACTCCTTCATCACCCTCTCCACCTACCATGGCTCCTACCACCACCCCCACCCTACACTCCTTTGCTCCCATCTCTCCCTCCTCCCTTTCCTCCACCATAATAATAGTAATCTTTGCATTTGATATAGCGCCTTATAAGTCTTCAAGACATCTCAAAGCGATTCACAGAATATATTGTAAAGTGAATTGGCTGTATATTGAATGTACCATAATCCAGATGAAGCCCATCAACTGTTGTTTCAACCCCCTCCCCACCCAGCTTCTGGTCACTCAAATCCCCCTCCTCTGACCACTACTGACTGACACAATCAAACAGTCCCTCTCCTCAGCTCTGACCTATTCCCCAAAAAAACTCTTCTTAAAAAAAAAACCTACCCTTAATGGAACTACCCTCCAAACTCACAAACTTCAGACCCATCTCAAACCTGCTCATCCTGGCCAAAGTTTGGGAATGAGTCATTGCAAATAAACTTGGCTCACACCTCTCCCTCCAGTCTACTTGAACCCCTCCTCGTTCTCCTGAACCTCTCTGCCGTGTTTGACAGAGTCAGTCATGCCATCCTGCTCCACTGCCTTTCCTGCCTCATCCACCTTAGTGGGACTGTACTCCCATGGTTCGAGTCCGACTTAACAAACCGCCAACAATACATCTCGGCAAATTATTTTTCCACCCTGCCCTGCCCAGTCACCTGCGGGATACCCCAAGGCTCTATCCTTGGCTCTCTTCTTTTCCTTATCCAGATGCTCCTTCTCGGTGATGTCATCCGCAGACATTGGGTCAATTTCCACATATATGTGGATGATACCCAAATCTACTTCTCCCCGAGCCCCAACTCCCAGTCTGCTGATGTCCTGTCAACTATTTTGACAGACATCAAGGGATGGGTGAACGCAAATTTCCTCCAATTGAATGTTGGCAAGACGGAATCCACACTCTTTGGCTACAGTCAAATTCTTGTTTCCTGCGGGTCTCAACTCCACAACCTCCCCAGGCTCTCCCTCAGACAGCGAACCTGTGTGCAACTTAGGCATCAGATACAATCCCCAGCTTTCTCTTCTACCTTGCATCCGTTCCCTTACCAGGACAGCTTCTTTCCACCTCCGTCACATTGCCTGCCTCTGTCCGTACCTCACCACCCAAGCAGCGAAAACCCCATCCGTGCCTTCGTCATCTCCCGGTTGGACTATTCCAATGCTCAGATACTCATCTGCACAGAACTCCGTACCCCCATTGCACCAGTCCTTTCCAGGCTCCACTGCTCCCAATTACCAAACAGATTGATTTCAAGATCCCCTCACTCGTTTTCAAATCCTTTCATGCCCCCACACCTCCCTACCTATTCGAACTGCTTACCCCCATTCTACCACCTGTTGCCTCCACTCAGCTGGCTCCGGCCTCCTGTTTGCCCCTAGTCCCCTCCACTCCACCATTGGTGACCATGCCTTCAGCCACTATTTCCTGAAACTCTGGAACTCTCTCCCTCAATCCCTCCGCCTTTCAAATCGCGCCTAAAGACCTTCCTTTTTGATCATGCTTACTTACGGTCACCTCCCTCTCCCCTGGCTTGATATCAGACTCCACCACTGTCAAGTGCTCTGGGAAGCTGGAAAGGAGCATATAAACGCAAGTTGTGTTGTTGTGGATATTGATGTACGCAATTGGCTGCCGCGTTTCGCCCACAAAATATACAGTCAATCCATTCCCGGTTTGCAGATTTGTGTAATCTGACATATGCTACGTTTACAAGGTGACGCCCCAGTTCGAGGTAGGACACGCTCCAAATGGAGGGGCAATGGGAAGACACCAGAAGCGTACTGACAAGGCCCTGCTGAAACACAGGAAGTGTGAAAGGAAGCTGAGCTCAGCCTCAAAACTGAAGAAACTGAAAAAGCCGCATCTTGCGTTTGTTCCCTTGACCTTCAATAGTTGGGTGTCAAAGTCCCACCTTCAGAAGCAGGCGCAGACTCCTTCTTCAACTAGGCCGGAGTTAAAAAGATCTTTTCTGGAAGGCAACCTTCAAGGATGTGGAGTTGAGTCTTCCTGTGAGAGAGTTCAGAGATCAGAGATGCTGTGCCAGAAATTCAAGGGTATCCCAGTTGGTGAAGGTAATGTCATTAAGACTGTCGAGCACAATCCATTCCATACTGTTGGAAACAATTCCAATGTCAGCCCATTATGTCATCCCAGGTGTCAAAATGGCTCCACTGGGAACAAAGCACCACTGGTGGATCACTTGATTTGCTCGTCAGAGGACTCCTTCACTCTACCACACGTGAATACACCCGTAATTGCCTCCTTACTGTCCCCTGGCAACCAGAGAGTAAATCTCGATGGAGGGACAAGAGAAGGACTTGATGGCCCTGATGGTCAACCAGGAGCTTGGGACCATTGGAACAGGAAGTTTGATCTGAGGGGCGGCTTTGCTGGGTGCACGGATCCCCAGTCTGTGCAGGTGCTGGTACCGGACACTCCCGAGAAGCAGTATGGACTCAAAGTGACCTGGCGACAGCGGCCGCACATCATGCAGTTTCTGCAAGAACAAGGAAAACTGTCAGAAGAAGACGTGCTGATCAGTGTTCGAATGGGACCCCTCGCTCGCACATGAACTATCTCGTGGCAGTGATCTGAGCACGGCTGTGACCTCTGGTCTGGGTGTTGATGTTGAATTGCATGTGAGCTGTGATCTGGGAGTGTGCGATGCTTTCATTGGTTCACCAGTGTGAAGTGTCCTCTGGTGAACCACGCTGAGGCCAAGGCCCGGGCTGGTTGATTGGAAAACTTCATTGCGATTGGCTCCTCGAGTCTTTGTTTCTCTTTGTCCTATCACAGCAGAGAGATTCACCCGTGAGGACCCTAAGGTGAAAGGTCAGTGTGGTGATGATTATGCTGCCCAATCCCCTTGGGTGAAGATTAATTCCGAATTTTCAGAGGTTTGTTGAAGAGATCGGCTTCCACACACTTTTATTCTAAGTTGATGAAATGGAATACTGCCATTTCACTTTGGGATCCTTGCAATCTATCCTGCCCCATATCAGTGGAATGAGTTTCCTCTCTTTGTTGGTTGTGATGGTCCAAGCTGAAATGGGAAATAGTTACGGGGTACACAGAGATATGGTAAGAGGGTTACATGTGGAGATCAAATGGGAAGTACAATCAAAATACACAGGTGGATAAATATAGGTTGTGCAGTTGGAGGGATAATTACATTCGAAGGTGGCATAATTGGGCGGGGGGCACATGGAAGCAGTAGTCAGAGGAAACATGCAGGAGATCGTACAGTTGCGGAGTACAGTGGAAGACAAGAAGCATTGTCTGAAATGGTGTTTGCTCAATTTCATGCGTGTCTTGAAGCTCTTAGCTCAGTGAGTGCACGCCACCAGTGTTGTAATACTGAAGGTAAATGGTTCTGTCATCCATATTATAGATTTGTGTTTCCTTGTTAATATCTTGCTTTGTTATGCTTGCTTCGACACTGGTGTCTGTACAGATTGATTTGGAGCAAGGATATGCATTGAACAGTTGAGTGTCTGCCATATCCCGTGTTGCTGTCTGAAAAGAAAGGATCGCAAATAAAGGACTTGTTTGAGGCACTTTCCCTGCATTTTATCAAGTGGCTTTCTTAATATAATAAAAAATTATCTTTGCAATAATCCTTGCACTTGTAAAGGGCAACCTTGTGCTTTACAAGTCAGCAAACGAGAAGTAAGAATTCCTTTTGTGCACCAGCAAGTGCTTTGATGGCTCTGAAGTGCTGATTGTACAAATACTTTGAGCTAGTGCCTGTACAATACAGCAGCTCACTGTTCTGTTGGTACTGACTAAACCATCATGCATCCTGTCACGGTTACCCTATTCTTGCAGTCTTTTGTAATGTGTAAATAATATGTATACATAGCTATATAATATTATTTAAGGGAATGGAGAAGCCTGCCCCTTTAAATGTGTTCTGAAAGTTGCAAGAAGCTGCTTGCAGCACATACTTAGTAAGCAACCTACAGGAGTTTGCCACAAAGTGTAGATCCAGGGCTGCTTGATGGACAGTCAGCTAACAAGCAGCTGCAGCATAAAATAACACATGGGCACGAATGCGGGAAAAAACTCTCGCATTCGCATCATATGGTGGGTGGAGCCACACGCGTATATGAGGCAACGCTCGGCGCTCCCCGTGGTCATCACTGCTCATCATCCGGTACCTACTGACATGCACAGGACATGTCAGGGTTGGTTTTATATTTCTTTACTAATGTAGTATTGTGCCGCCAGTTGTTATAGTTATGTGCGATTGTTATGTTTGATCCCATTGTTGTATATCTTCCATTGTTGTGTTCCTTATATATAGGGTAGCCTAGGGTTGGTAGGTTTTAATTAAAGAGCTGTTGTTTCAACTGAATGTATCCTCAAGTCTCTGTCGTATTCTAGACAAGAAAAGGAGTAAGCAACTTTGTAGTTGTCAACATTGGAGGTCTACTAGTGCAAGACAGACTTTGAGTGGAGTTGTGCCTTGAAGGAGGCCAGAGAGATGGGGTCACAGAGCCTAGTGCAAGAGAGGACACAATCTGCAGAGTTCTGGATGATCTGCAGCTTGTGGAGTGAAGAGTTGGGGAGGCCGACAAGGAGGGCGTTTCTGTAGTCAAGCCTTGAGGTGACGAATGTGTAATAAGGGTTTCGGTGGCCTGAGGGGTGAGGCAATGGCGGAGGCTGGCAAAGTTGCGGAGGTGGGGGAAGGCAGAATGGGTCATGGCACAGATATGTGTGAGAAAGGACAGATGCCTAGGTTCCTGACAGGCTTGGTGAGGTGGAGTTTGCAACCGTGGATGTTGATGCTGCCAGTGCCTGAGATGCTGAGGTGCTGGCGCGAGCCAATCAGAAGGGTCTCAGTCTTGCTGACATTCAGCCATAGAAAGTTGGCTCTCATCCAGGACTTGATGTCAGCAGACAGTTTGTCAGGACGTCAGTTGTCTTGGAATCGAGGATGGAGGCAGAGAACTAGAGTTGGGTGTCATCCATATACATTTGGAAGTCTGTGGATGATGTCACCAAGGGGGAGCATGTGGAGGTTGAAGAGGAGGGGATCGAGGATAGAGCCCTGAGGAACACCACACATGACTGTGCGGGAGCTGGAAGAGAAACTGTTGGCAGAGACAAATTGGAGACCGTGTGAGAGATAAGACCTGAACCATTCAAGGACAGAACTTTGAAGGTTGAGCTGAGAGGAGGGGTAGTGGAGGAGGATGGAGTAGTCCACTGTATCGGAAGGCAGCAGAGAGTTCAAGGAAGACGAGGAGGCAGAGGGAGCCTCCTCGTCTTCCTTGAACATAGATGGATAAAATGTCATTTGTCACCTTGACCAGAGCAGTATCCGTTCTATGAGCTGTATGGAAACCCTATTGGAGGGGCTCGTGAAGGGAGTGGAAGAAGAGGAAGAAGCAAAGCTGGGAAGCAATGACTCTTTCAAGGACCTTCGAAAGAAAAGGGAGGTTGGAGATGGGCCGGAAGTTAGAAAGTAGGGATTGGTCCAGGGAAGGTTTTTTCAGCATGGTGGTGATTGTAGCTATTTTTAGGGGAATGATGCCAGATGAAAGGGAGAGATTGATGGTGTCGGCGAGAAGAACATAAGAATTAGGAGCAGCAATAGGCCATTCGGCACTTCGTGCCTGCTCCGCCATTCAATAAGATCATGGCTGATCTTCTCACCTAACTCTGATTACCTGCCCTATCCCCATATCCCCTAATCCCTCTATTTTTCAAGAAAAATAGAGAGGCGAGGAGGTGGAGCTGGGAGATTAGGAGAGGGGTGGTGATGGGGTCAAGGGAGCAGGTGGTGTGTTTCATGCTGCATATGGTGGTGATGAGAGAGGAGGGGAGACAGGTTCGAAAATTTGGAACAGAGCAGCTTATCCCCAGAAACGGGGTTATGAAAATTCTCGAGTCTGATTGTGGAAGTCATTTCATGGTAGACATAATAAAGTCAGTGACCGATAACCTAGCCAATCAACATAATTTACATGTACCTTACCATCCAGAGAGTTCCAGAAAAGTCGAGAGGAATAACAGACTCATTAAAAAAAGGCATATATCCAGAAAGGACGCTGATGGGACAAGCGAACCCCCTGGGTCTCGATGGGGCTTATCAATAGACCCCTCAGCGACAGACCGTTTTACCTCTTCCACAGAAGACAAATGATTACTCTGCTTACGCAGTCGCCAGTGGAAATCTCTACTTCGCAGCTAGAGAACTTTGAAGAGTCTTTATCTGAAATCATAAATCAATATAATACAGGTCACCATTCTGGGAACACTTGCAACTATAAGCAGGGGGATATGGTTACCTGGAAGTCTCATGACTTTACGAGAGAGATTCCACAAACCCAGCAAACTTGTGGAAGTTCTGAATCCTAAAATGATAATAATCCTCACTTCAGATAACAATTTTGACCAACCAGGTCAAATGAGTACAAGTTTGTCAAACTATTCGGATGTCGGGGAGACAGTGATGTGTGAGCCAATCCCTTTCTTCGGGTTCAGATATTGAGGAATGCGAGAATGCAGGAGACATTCTAAAACTGGACTAAATGGGACCACACTCGCATGGTTCGAGTCCTACTTAACCAACCGCCTCCTTTTCATCTCGGCAAATAGTTTCTCCTTCCATCCCTGCCCAGTCACCTGAGGCGAATCCCAGGGCTCCATTCTTGTCCCTCTGGGCGATGTTATCCGCAGACACGGGGTAAACTTCTGCATATATGAGGATGACATACAAATCTACTTTGCCTCCTCCAGCACCCACTCCAGGTCCTCCGATGTTTGTCTGGCATACATTAGGGCCTTCAATCTCAGGCGCCTCCCTACCTCTCCAACTGCTTCACTCCCCAATCTACCACCCGGGGTCTCCGCTAGCCTTGCACTCTCTCTCTCCTTTGTCAAGTCCCGCCTGAAAACCTTCCTCTTCGACTGTGCTTACAGCAACCACCCGCCCCCTCCCCGGCTCGGAGTCAGGCTCTGCCACTGTTAAGCACTCTTGAGACGCTACCCTACCCAGGGCGCTATATAAGTGCAAGTTGCTGTTGCTTTATAAACACCAGGAGGTGACAGTCAAATACAGTTGTCAAATGTTCAATAGTAACGTCTGGAAATGGTATTCAAAATTCTGGGATTAACCTGCTGATTATTAAATTTGTGTAACAATGAGCTGCTTTGTTATACATAAGAATATATATTTTTAGTAGTAACCAGCATAAGTCTCAGTGAGCAAAATACTGTGTGTAAGTTAGAGAGAGAGAGAAGCAACAGGCCTCCTTGGAGAGCAATACAACAACAACAACAACAAGATTCCATTTATAGAGCGCCTTTCACGTCAGGAGGACGTCCCAAGGCGCTGCACAGTTGGGTCATGACCCGAGCAGGGGGGAAATGGTCAGGGTGAGGGGAGGGAAGGGAGGGAGAGAGGAGGGGGGAAATGGTCAGGGTGAGGGGAGGGAAGGGAGGGAGCGAGGAGGAGGAAGAGAGTCGAGAGGGGAGCTGAAGGCACGGTCAAAGAGAAAGGTTTTGAGACCGGCCTTGAAGGAGGAAAGGGAGGAAGCAAGGCGAAGGCACTGGGGGATGGAGTTCCAGAGCCTCGGGGCTGAGAGGCTGAAGGCCCGACCACCGATAGTAGGGCGGTTGGGGCGGGGGACGTGGAGCAGACCGGAGCCAGAGGAACGGAGGGTACGGGCAGGTAGGTAGGGGGATAGTAGGTTGGAGAGGTAGGAGGGAGCAAGGCCGTGAATGGCCTTGTAGGTGAGGATGAGGATCTTGAAATCAATCCTCTGGGGGATGGGGAGCCAGTGGAGGCGAGCGAGGGTGGGAGTGATGTGGTCCCGAAGCCTGGTGCGGGACAGTACACGAGCTGCAGAGTTCTGAATGACCTGCAGCTTGTGGAGGGAGGTGGCGGGAAGGCCGGCGAGGAGAGAGTTCCCATAGTCCAGCCTTGAGGTGACAAAGGCGTGAACCAGGGTTTCAGCAGCGTGAGGGGTGAGGTAGTGCCGTAATCTGGCGATATTCCGGAGGTGATGGAAGGCGGTGCCAGTTGTGGTGCGGATGTGAGGGAGAAAGGACAGCTCAGGGTCGAACAAAACGCCGAGGTTCCTGACTGGCTTTGAGAGGTGGAGAGTGCAGCCTTGGATGCTGATGGTGTCAGCGCCTGAGGTGCGGAGGCGCTGACGTGAGCCAATCAGGAGGGCCTCGGTTTTTCGCACGTTGAGCTGAAGAAAGTTGTCTCTCGTCCAGGACTCGATGTCGGACAGGCAGGCTGTCAGGACATCGGTGGTCGTGGAGTTGAGAGTAGAGGAGGAAAGGTAGAGTTGGGTGTCATCCGCATACATGTGGAAGTTAACCCCATGTTTGCGGATGATGTCACCAAGGGGGAGCATATAGAGGGTGAAGAGGAGGGGACCGAGGACAGAGCCCTGAGGGACACCACATGAGACAGTACGGGGGGTGGAGGAGAAGCCATTCGTTGAGACGAAGTGAAGACGGTGGGAAAGGTAAGAGCTAAACCATTCAAGGACAGTGCCTTGAAGGTTGAGGTGGGAGGACAAGCGGTGGAGTAGGA